TCCACTACTAAAGGAGGCATATTTAGAGTCAAAATTACTACATGAGTCAAAAATTCCTTCATGGTATGGATCCTTAAACTTCTTTCTAAAGAATATTAAAGGGGTTGGCAATTTAGCTTCTACAAGTAATTACAGCTTTAAATTTTTATACAAAAAATTCTGTACCAGTACTATGAGGATCAGTGGAGACTCCAAATGCACAACTGTTCTGATGGAAAGCTCTGTAACTATAGCACTTTCAAGACCAATTTTTGGTCTTGAAAGATATTTTATTCTATTGCGATCCCCTGAGTGGAAGAAATTTTACTCGATTGCGTATTTCCTCACATAGACTTAGAATTGAACAAGGTAGATATCATGGTGTTTCTCGACAAAACACAATATGTCTCAGGTGCACCTCAAATGAAATTGATGATGAAAAACATTTTTTATTTTCATGTACATCATCTTTAACTAGAAGAAACTGCATGTACTCCATGATCAACTCACTGTGTCCTAACTTTACGCACTTGATTCCTAGCCAAAAACTAACCTGGCTACTTAATGTAGAGAATGTTGATATATTAATATCTGTTTGTGATCTGATTGATGAAGGCAAAATATAGATCTAGCTTATCTACATCAGGCACGAGGATGGCATGGTGGTTACCTAGACTCACCTATAATAATAATAATGTACCTTCTTGTATTTATTTTATCATTGACAATCAGAATTATTACCATATACATTATATTTAAGTATTTTTCTATTTCGTGCTATGTAAACTTGAGCATGTCATTTAGCATCGTCCCTTGGTGCCTCTTGCAGTCGGGTCATCTTACATTATGTATCAACCCCTTCTGCATCAGGCACGAGGATGACATGCCAGGTTTGTGCATCTGCTCATAATATCATAACCAGAAATTATCTATTTTACATTCATGTATACCATGTGAGTCTATCTCCCACCTTGCCTTGCAGCACCGTCCTTTGGTGGCTTTTGCAGATAAATTAAATATCCAATACATTGGCAATTTATTTTAGGAACTTTTTCATGTTGGGGTGTACCTGAGAAGGAGGGAAACACTGTTGAACGTTATATGTATATATATTTATATATGTGTGTAGTTCATGATGTTTAAACTGCCTTTTCTTTTCTTTGTATATGTATACTAGACTATTGTTGTTTCTTTTTGTTATTGTCTTATTAATGTCTTATATTGTACTATGCTCCTTGTGAGCCCATTTAATGGAAATAAAACATCTTCTTCTTCTTCTTCTTCTTCTTCTTAAAAAACGAAAAGCAAATTATAGCTTTTGATTACAATTTACATCAATATTTGAACTACTCTTATTTATGCCTACGCATACATGATTGATAGCAAAATTCAACATTATTTACCGTTATCTTGATGAATTTTCAAGGATTCCGTTACCAAAAATTACTTAAAACCTTTACTAAATTCTTTCATAGATACAAAGATTTTGTTTGGAGGTTTGGCTAGATAACTTAAATTACTACATCCTAATTTTTACGGTGATGTTGTTTGTAGTGCCCGTAAACTTAGATACGATCCGTGTAAACTTATTCTAAAGGGATATAAATTTAACACTGTAATAAGCTAGATCTTTAAATATTGTTAAACATTGCTGTTAATATCAATTCATTAAAACAGAACTGAAATATTATTGATATACAAATTCAAATTCAAATTCAAACTCAAATTCAAATTCAAATTCAAATTCAAATTCAAAGTCAAAGTCAAAGTCAAATTCAAATGCAAATTCAAATATTAATCTAATCACCGTGAGGGCCCAAAGACAGGCATATAAATCATAACAAATACAGATATACAATATATAGATATAAGAAGATGTGGTATGAGTGCCAATGAGACAACTCTCCATCCAAGTCACAATTTGTAAAAGTAAACCATTATAGGTCAAAGTACGGCCTTCAACACGGAGCCTTGGCTCACACCGAACAGCAAGATATAAAGGGCCCCAAAAATGACTAGTGTAAAACCATTCAAACAGGAAAACCAACAGTCTAATCTATATAAAAAACGAGAAACGAGAAACACTTATGAACCACATCAACAAACGACAACCACTGAACATCAGATTCCTGACTTAGGACAGGTGCAGACAAATGCAGCGGGTTTAAACGTTTTAATAGGCGCCAACTACTTTCATTCATCTTTTCATTCAACGATCACTCGGATTGGAATTAATTGATCACAATACTACTCATAAGCATATTTAAATGGGAAGAAGAGTCAGTCCACTTGTCCTTAATACAGATATGAGGGTTTGGATGGGGTCCTTCAACTCTATATTTTTAAATAGTTTATACCATATTTTTTTATTCTTTATGTTGTTTTTTTACCATTATTCTCGACTGTTTAAATTTTAGCACCATATTATGCTCTTTTAGGTCTTTTTTTTTCTCTTATCTTTATTTTTGGCCCTTTATTCTGGGTTTTTAGTCCATTATTCTGTATTCGGGAAACCCCGTAAGACCCTCAGCTATAAACATTTACAGTGCTTTTTAATTTTTGCATTGCACAAGATCATATTTCTCTGACTGTTAAAGACGTCTTTATACTAAATCCATTGGATGTTTTCTTATTGATATTTTAGCATTGAATACAGAATTTTTTTTGTTACTTGTTATTGGCTGGTCACTTTCTCAGCCAGTAACTGAGAGTACTCTCAGATTGGTACTTTGTGTCTTAAGTCTTTGTTAGTTTTTTTGTGTGTGCTTTGTATCGATCTGATGTGTCATGCCTTTTTCAACTGACTTTTTTGTAGTTTGTTCGTATGTTGTGCTCTTACACCACTGTCGTAGGTTAGAATATTAATAAAACCACTTTTAACTTTTAGCTGGACATCAGGAACACCTCTACCGCTTAAAATTGACGGATCTAGTACGTATGTGATATAAAGTCAAATGATCAAAATATGAATTGTTTAGTCTCTTAGAAACCCTATAAGATTTCCGATGCTTTTTTTTTGCTAAATAGGTGCAAATAAGGTACTCGGTGCAACTTGGGTACCGTACACGTTATGCAAGCTGGATGGTTTTTTTTAAGTTATTGTCTCTTTTTTTAAATTCAAGTTAGGAATTCCGTTAAAACTTTAGGATATATTAGTTTATCTGGAACTAATCACAGAGTGAATTTACGTTAAGCCTTTGACTAACATAGTCCCAGGTTAAGCAAGAGATGATACATATAAACAAATATATTTTATATGTCTCTGGTTAAGCAAACTATAGAGATATAATATAATAACATCATACCAGACATATATTGCAATCTTATATCATGGTAAGTCTCTGAATGAGAATCACTAGCTATAACCAGAGACATATAATACAATTATATGTCTCTGCTATAACGCTAACCAGTGACATATATATGTCTGATATAACCTGAGACCAATATAACACATATGTTATAGAAGTCTCAGCTATAATACACTGTGTTAACTATAGCTGAGACATTGTATTAAATATTTGTTTCTGATTGTAGTAATCTCGGGTCTCTGGAACACAATAATATCAGAGTCATATATATACAATTACAATATTTAATATATGTCGTTAATAAAATCTGCATGTATACTGAGACTACTGTAACACAAGTCAGGAATATGACAGCTGTTTTCCATTCGTTTGGTGTGTTTGAGCATTTGATTTTGCAATTTGATGAAGGACTTTCTGTTTTGAATTTTCCTTGGAGATCGGAATTTTGTTATTTTACTTTTTTTTTTGTATAGTAATCTCAGATAATATTTAGCTTTGTTATATTTATGGGGATGTTCAACTCTTCAGGTAAATTGGAATATATTCCAAGATGTGAACGAATTTGTAATTATTGCAATTTGAATGTGATTGAGGATGAGCTCCATTTTGTATTGGAGTGTCCTTTATATGCAGCATCAAGAAAAGTTTTCCTAGATAGTCTATTTATCAAATATATCCAAATTTGAGAATAATAAACTTAGAGAATTTATTCGTTTGGATTATGTCAAATGACGACAAAAGCTGTATAACATCTTTATGCAAATACCTGAACATAAGTTTTAAAACTAGAAAACTAAAAATTGGAAAACAAATTTACCAAATTGACACACCTAACAGCAGGTTTTTAGTGACATTATGTAGATTGGAGTTATCTTTCTTTTACCCAGCTGGCTCTCTCAAAAATTGTTTTTTTAAGTACATGTTATCAGAGACATATAATAATTGTATTATATGTATCTGATGTTATATAAATCATAAAATAATTTTTAATGAATGTTTATGTCTTAAATGAATGTATACACGTTTATCTTTTTGTTATTTTCTTGTTTGTAATTGATATGCCCTTAAGTTAAGGGCCCTTTAATTAGGAATAAAATGATTTGATTTGATTTGGTATTTCGATGGTGTGGTTTTTCCATTTGGGTTGAAGATTACAATTTTTTAATTGAAAAAATAATTCAATATCCAGATATAATAGGGGCGTAAAAAGGGGGGAGTATCTGCACGGAAGAACTCGAAATAAAATTGCCATTTCACGATGAACGAACAATTAAAAATTTCTTGCACGTTGATCTTTGATCATCTTTTTGACCGATTTCACGAAACACGGCGAATAACGAACCTTTTTCACGGCTGCACGTGAAATAAAAATGACAAAACACGTTGCAAGAAAATAACCCTTTACCACCCTCATATTACCCTAATATTACGTTTATATTACGAAAGCAATATATCGATAAGGGAGACAATTTTTTTAATTCCCGCCAGTAAAATACAAGAAAACTATTTGTGTTATCTCCCTTGACAACAGAAACACTTCTGAGCCCTCTTTACACAATCATATGTGTGTTTATACACAATAAAATATTGCAACTCTACGATACCCATATAAGATATTCCGGTGTTGACAAAACTAAGATTTTTAGTTCGCAGATAAATGACATTTTATATTTCAATATCGAGCAGCTCACGGAAATGACGTCACGAAAAATGGTGTTGAATGTTGTGTGAGACTTGTAAAATCTCTTGCGTTAGATTTTGAAATAATTTCACAATTACAGCGCATAAAATGTAAAATCATGTCGTTCTTTCTCACTGGTAAGTTCATACCAACAAGAAGCAACATTGATCTTTATTTCCACATAAATATTTGGCCGATTTTTGGGCTTTGTTGTTTTAGGCCTTGCTTTATATCGTGATGTTTGGGATTGAACATTTGAACGAACATTCAATTCAGCGTTTTTCTAATGATACGTAACCAAACAATCAAATTAAATGAAGATACACTTTAATGATTCTTGATATATGGTAAAGGTGGTTTACTTCAGTAAAATACAACAGTTAAATCATGGACATACATGTATCATGATAATTGAGTAGGAATTAAAACTGTCTCTTAGTATGCCCCAATCAGATAGGCCTATTATCTGTTGGCACAAAGAACTTATAAGCTCTGGACCTCTGCTCTCTTCTTTGTAATTCAGCACTCCATCAACACGCCAGGCACTGATGTTACCATTCAGCATGTGCATCTGTTTTGAGAGTGAGCAAAAAAGCTTACATTGTTTTAAGCAGCTGTTATTCTACGATATGTATATGTAGAAAATTCTGAAAATCTGTTTATCGTTCCATTTTGATTACTGGTCTCTCACCCTCCCGTAGAAAGTTTTACGCTTGACGAAACTGTCGAAAGTATGCTTGATGATGTCTCTTCGCACATCATGCTCATTGAGACATTGCTGATAATGTCTGCTCATGTCTAAAAGCCATATGAGAATTACGGAATATAAAGAGAAAATTGAAGCATACATGTAGTGTTTAATTCATGCCTCAATCTTTTTTATTTGTATTCAATGTCATTGGCCTAGATATTTAAGAAAGAAAAATGCTATACATTTATCATGTGTATTGCATAATAAATTGATGAAAAAATTAACCAACAATAAAAATAATTATGCATGGTTTTTAAGCATTAATAAAGTCATTTTGAAAACTTAACATTGCCATTGTTTCAAACACTGTCAAAATACATATTATATATTAGTATATTAGCTAAAACACTGTCTATATTACATTGACATTGTTATTTAATAACTAAAGCACTTATCTTGGACCACTGGGTCATGTATATGTAAGTAGTACAAAGTGACTTGGCAGCCTTTACTACAATTGCCTCTGTACTGGTAACAATTCGTGTAGATGTTAATCTTAACACTGTCAGAGGAGGCTGTACATTGTCTTTAAGTTAAGGTTTTTCCTGCTGTCAGTTTTGATCATCTTAAGCACGCTGAAGGTCCTCTTAATGTAAGGATTGTTAAATGTGAAAGAGGATTAAGCCCTTAATTATCAATACCATGAATTGATACTTTTTGGAAATCAGACATTAAAATTTTCAGGAAATTGTATGCTCCTTTATGATAAAAGAATTGTGCATGACATGTACAGGGGTGTGGAAATATTTGTTGTGACTGAGCACTTGTCTGTGAGCTAGTTAAACTGTAAATTTTACTTGTCCAGAAAAAAAGTTACTTGCCCTGAATTTCCCAATAAATATTGAAATATTTTACCGTAAGCTTGAATGACTCTTTAAACTAAACTGTTTTGTATTGCAATATAAATGATATGTGTTTATGTGTATGAATAAAAGGATAATGGGGTTAACATCAATGTAGGAGACAGAAATCCAACAGCAAAAAAAACAAAACCTGAAAAACATCTAGAGGGCAGTTTTGCAACATGTGCAATGTTTTTAAAATGCTAGCCAGTAGATTTCCTGTACTAAGTTTTGAAACCAGTGAAGAAATGAAGACTAAATAATAGATCATTAAGCATGTTAAGTGTCCTGTCTAGCTAATAATTTGCCAACAAATAAGTTAGACTTTTGAACAGCAAGATCGATATGGGTGTTTCATACAAATTATGCAAAAATTTAATTTATTTTTAGAAGTTTTTTCACTGGAGAGCCAGGGGAAATCTGTTAGGTATGACTTCTGGAATTTTCACTTCTGGTTTTTTTTCATATTGTTTTTTCATATTCCACATGTTCCATGTCTTTCTCCTCCTCCGTTTGTATATGCACACCATGGTGTGTTAGTGTATCTGGAATTATGCCCCAGGTTGACAGTTGACTAGCTAAGAAAACTACAAAAAACTGCAATATGACACACGTATGACATGAAGTAATAATATACAATATTCTTATAGTGTAGAAAAATATAAAATTTATTTATTTGACAAGCTTTAGAGACAGTGATAAAATTGATTGATTGATTGATGTTTAAGGCCACTGTCAACACTATTGTGCTAATACGTGGCAGTGAGGAAGCCAGAGAAAACCACCGACCTTCGGTAGGAAAACTGACAATCCTAGTCAATTGAGATTGGAGTCGAGCACCTGGCACGTGTGGGATTCGAACTCACAACCTCAGTATTTAAAAGATCTCACTGAGTTTTTCTCCTGTTTGGTAATATGTACGGCCCAAAATTGGTTTCCGTTCTCTAACTTGAGTTTGCCTCAACCAAATGTTATGAAACTTATACACAATGCTTATTACTACATAATACAGATTAAGTACGAAATTTGGTGGCGACACGTTTACCATTCTTGAGTTATGTCCCCTTATAAACATAAAAATTGCTGAATTTTTCGTTTCCGTTCTCTAACTTTAGTTTGTCTCAACCAAATGTTATACAACTTATACACAACCGTTCTAGAGTAATGCGTGTTTACAAAAAGAAAAATTGCTGAATTTTTAGTTTCTGTTCTCTACTTAAGTTAGCCTCAACCAAATGTTATGAGACTTACACACAATGCTTATTACCACAAAACTCAGATCAAGTTCAAATTTGGGTAGCATCACTTTTACCGTTCTTCAGTTATGTCCCTTTATAACTATATGATATGCAAGCGGGGGCATCATCTGTGTCCACATGTTTTTGGTGTGTTATTAATGGCTTTTCCTAATGTTTAATATTGGTATCTTTTTAGAAGCATGTATTGCCTGAATGGTCATAGAACACTGAATTTCTAAGATCAATGATTGCTCTTCACCTCAGTGTCAGATATACAATATGCCAGGTCATTGTATTAAAAAGAATTGATATATGAAACAAAATATTTATTAAACAAGTGACTAGAATCAAACAGAATCAAACAAATATGACATCATAATCAGAATACTGTAAAACTGTTTTATTTTTTTGGATTTCGTTTGGGAAAATCCCCCTTTAGCAGCAATGCACAGTTGACACACTGGCAGAACAATTTTAAATTTGGTCATCAATGCAGGATTCTTTGGACGGTCAACTGATGCACAATGTGCACAAATATCTTTCCTGCCAACATCAGAGCCATAGTAAATGAATTATATATATATGTGTCAAACAGGTCATTTGTTGTAATACGATATTCAGGAAACAAACTTAATTTTACTTTTGGCCTTACAGGAGACTATATACATATACTTTACGGTTTTGCTTTGTGTTATCTGTACACCTGTATTTGTGTAGTAGAAAGGTCGATTGCAGGATAAAAAAACAATTTACAGACCAGCCAATTGATCGTATTTTTATCACCAATGAAACATCCATAAGGGGCTTCGGTGGGCAAGTGGTCTAAGTAGTCCAACTACTGCATCACTAGCCTGTCAACACTGAGCCTAACCACGACCTTCAGTAGGAAAACTGACAAACCTAATCCCGCACATGGCAGGTGTGCTCGACTCCAATCTTAATTGACTAGGTTTGTTTGTTTCTTACTGAAGGTCATTGTTCTCTCCGGGCACTTCTATACTCCTTCAATAAAAACTGACTGCCACGAAATAACCAATAGTGCTGAAAATGGCTTAACCCCTAAATAATCAATCAAACTCTTTGCATAATAATGATAATAGGAACAGCATTACTTGATATTATGATATACACATAATACATGTGAATGCACTTTGTAGGTTACAATTGTGGATTAAATTTATGAATGTATAAGTAAAAGTAATTTTAATAACAATTAGTATCATAATTCTACAAATGCTGTCATCCATTGCCCTACAGTAAACATGAAACATCAGTTAATATTTCATTTATAAACTTTGTTTACTTTTGCAGCTCTGCAGGACCAAGAGAATAAAGTAGATCATGGCTGGTCCCAGGCCAATTTTTTTTCTCAAGAATCTCCGAACACGGCAACTAGTGGAACAGGGAACCAGATGTTCACCAGTAATACACCAGATTCTCAGCCAATCGCAAGTCTGGATGGCTGGTCAGATAATAGTGTTGTAGTTGAGGAAGTAGCCCAGGACCAGTTTGTTCCTGGTCAATATTCAACGGGGTAACATATTTTTTAAGACTTGATATTTCTGTCATCAACATAATCAAGGGTTGAAATATAAAAATAATGTTGCAGGACCAATTAAACTTTATATCTTCCAGCATTATCTCAAGGGGGTCAACCTAAAGACACTCATCTCAAGGGGAATAAACCAAAGTTGCTCATCTCAAGGGGGCCAAACCAAAGTTGCTCATCTCAAGGGGGTCAAACTAAAGATCCTCATCTCAAGGGGGTCAAACTAAAGACGCTCATCTCAAGCAAATCTGAGGACCACTTATTAAACAAGATGTTCTAATACTACATGTACTAGGGAATTGAATATGAAAAAATTAAACTTTTTAATCAGTTCTTTTTTTAATATTTTCAGTGAATATATAGATGGATGTAATTCACAAGAACTCATTCAGTCATATACAGATGCAAGTGATGCTAGTCAAGTTTCAGTTGTTGATTACAATCTTCTAGATAGTGGTAATGTTCAGAATATTGCAAATGTAAACAGCAATAATATCCAAAACATCCCCTGTGCAGAAAGCAATAACATTCAAAACATCATGGGCACTGTTTCTTTTTTAACAAGTGATGGAATGGTTGTAAATCCAGGCACTAATTTGACGTCTGAATTGACCTCTGAGGGTCCAGTTAAAACTTTCAATGTGACTGTGTCTGCTGACGGTACTTTGGTGCATCTACCAACAGATGACAACAATGTTCCAGCTTCAGATGAATATGTTTATCTCAATGCAAATAATGAACAGACTGTTGATTCTGTTTCTAGTGCTGTTACCTTGACAACAGTTGCAGGAAGTAATGCCACAACAATACTTGCACCTAATACTACCACTGCCTTGACAACAAATCATGTGACTGGGGGATCTGTTATTACACAGAATGCAATGACACAAAGTCCAATCAAAACATCTGATGTTATCTTGATACCTAAAATGCAGGGAGGAACAACAAGTGTTGCTACGCTTACCACTGAAACTATACAAGCAATACTTCAACAAAAGACTCCACTTTTTTCTGGCGCTCAGAGATTCAAATATGTTACTACTTCACAAGGAAATAGTGCCCAAGCTGTACACCAGATTCAGCATATTTCATCATGCAATCAGTCCACTCCACTCAACAGTGCAAAAAATCAAATTAATAATGTTCAGCACTCAGGTGCTCCCAGATTGACTTCTTTATTGACAGGAAGTGCTACAGTTCAGTCACCCCAGATACTGACAAATATACCGATGAAGACAGCAGCTGGTTCAGGGATAAAAGTAGTAGCACCCCAAAAAACAGTGCTGGTCTCAAGGGGCCAAACTCCTGGAAGTGTTACTATGGTTCCTAGGATACAGACCCCCCAAACAGCAATGGTAGTACCTAACCAACAGAAGTCGCCTGTGGTGATACCATATATTGTACCGTCTCGTACAGGGCAGGCAACTGTGTGTAATAGTACCACCAGTAGTCAAGCTGTAAGAGTTATTCAACCTTCGCAACATATTATAGGCAACAAGGTTTTCATTGCCCCTAGTAATAGTGTAGGAAACGTTACAAACACTGTACAATCTAAGACCGCTCAGAATCAGTATGTGACAACATTATCTGCAAACAATGGGGAGATAATTACACAAAATATGATGAATATTGGTGGCAATTCTAAGGTATTATCTGCATCATCTGCCCAAGACATTCTATCAGCTATTAGCTCAGCACAAGGGAAATTAACTCAGACAACTGTATCGTCTAGTCCGCAAAACGTTACATATACAATAATTACCTCCCCTTCTACGAAGAATAATCAAGGGACTATGACGAACAAGAGGGGGCGTGGTAGTATTAATAGTAGAGGGCGAGGGAGGGGTCAAACAAAAGCAGCTAGTAGTAGAAATCTTGGACAGCAATATATTATTGTTCAAAAAGACAGTCAAGGTAAGAATGTATCCTATGTTGTTCCAAATAGTTGTGAGACATCAACGCAAAAAGTGCGAATGAATGCACAAAACCAGTCATCAGATATTATAGACTTAATTACATCTCCGACAAAGTTAGTCAATACAACGGAAAGTGATTCAACTTTATCCGAGGGACAAGTGAATGGAAGTTCACCAAATGTTACCCCAGTTATTAATAAGAAGTTTGTTCGCTGTAAGGACGGGGGAGATTTAATTGCAGGGACAACATACATGGTGTCTGGGCCAAATGGACTGCAGAAGAGAATGGTGTTTAATGGAGAAAATTTTGTGGAACCGTCAGGTGAGCTGTCATGTAAGTACTAATGACATTTTAATGTCAACATACAAGACCAAAAATAGATATGGTTCTGTTTCCTTTTTCCCTAAATATCCTAAATTTTCATGTCTACCTTAACACATTTTATGGACATTTTTGGTTAAGCACAGTTGAAATCCAGACAGTTTTGATTTTTTAAAAGTCCAGAACATTTCCCTGTATGTAAACATGATATACTAGTTTATGTCATGGTCTATGTTAATATTGAAAAAAAATAAAAGCATTTTACCTACATTGAACATTTATGTCATGTTACTTAGAAAATTTTTGTCATGTGACATTGAACATTTATTTTTATGTGACATTGACAATTTTTGTCATATGACATTGAACATTTATAGTCATGTGACAGTGAATATTTATTGTCTGTTTAAACTGAGACTACTATAACACAGAGATTGGTCACTATAGATTTATCGGATTATCTGAGTCTCCGGTAGTTAGCTACGTTATTTTAATGTAGTTTCATATTCGACCGTAGCAGACGACATATATCACCTATCACTGAGAATACTATAACAGTATCGGATATTATTATTTTTCTTTTAAAAATAATTTAAAAACAAAATTGAATTAATAAAAAAAAAAAAGAATATAGTTTTTATCTTTCAAATGCAGTTATCTCTATTCATATTTAATTTTTTGTTTTTAATCATTAATAATTTGTTAATAGTTTGTTATTATGCGGTCACTCTTGAAAATGTGAATGTGATTAATCTTATCAATCTTACAGTTACATTGTTTTGCTACACGTCCGTTAATTGTATCTAATATATAAATATTTTACCTGTAAAGACAGGTAGTCTTAAAGCATGGGAGATGAATTTTGTTTCACAGCTGGGTGCCCAAGGTACACGAGGCTCCGTTAATTGCAGTAAACTTTTATTCTATACTTGTAAGGTATTTCACTGCTGAGTGCCCAATATACATGTTTATTGTAGTAAACCTTGTCAAATATCGTCGGTGCACTTGTGGTAGGATTCAGGAGGGTGTGGATGGGGTTTTATAGAATGGAGAAATAGGGGCAAAAAAGTATAGAATGGAGAAAAATGGACCGACAAAAAAGAATAGAGAAGAGAAAATAATAAGTTATTAAGATTTAAAGAATAGAGAAAAATGGCATAGAAATTATAGGAAATAAAGAACCCCCATCCAGACCCTCATTCAGATTATCCAACGTAAATTTTTTTTTCCCTATAACATTTTTTTGTTGGGTAACTGCTGACAGTTTACCATGTGAAAATTCTGAGAAGCCAAAAATAATGCAGAATGTATAAATACGTAGCAAGAATGTTAAATATGATAGCATATATTGATGTCACCTTTCTGTAAATTCAACTTCGATTCACAACTGCTTGTCAATGGCAAATATTTCATGTACAGTCAGCCTGATTAAACCGAAATGAACTATTTTCAAATTATGTTTAAAGTTTGTTTTTATGTTATGTCGTTACACCAATGTCCCATGCTAGTGGTGGTGATGAGCGCCTAAAAATATTTAACATTGTCACATTCTTTATGTGCCCGTCTCAAGTCAGGAGCCTGTAATTCAGTGGTTGCTGTTGGTTCATGTCCGTCATATTTGAATTTTCGTAAATTGCTTTGTTATTGTAGACACTTCGTTTTCTCTAGTGAATTGTTATATATTTTCCATGTCGGGGACTTTTGAAGCTGACTGCACGGTATAGGTTTTCTCATTGTTGACGGTAATTACGGTGCATTCCAATAACTTACATCCACTTCATTGAACTTCATTTGGACTAAAGGAGTTGTCTGATGATCATTAGCAAAAATATATAAAAATCTCCTTAAAGTTTGCTTCAAGTGGCTATTCCTTTAATATATAAAGATGTGTGGTTACTTGTTTTTTTTTCTTTCATTGAACTGTTATCCAAACTGAGCGTGTTAGTGAATTTCTGCATTCCTGTCTTAGTTTTAATGTATATAATAATAAAAATGTATATTCAAAGACTTAAATATTTATTTCTCCATGTAAGACAAGCATGACAAATTCAATGAAATTAAAAAAAATACTAAAAAAAGTCATTTTCTCCTGTAGTACTTCTCCCTTCTTCTAATGCGTGATTTCTTTCTGGGGGTATTCCTACAATAAAGAATATATTATAAATAAAAAGAAATAATCTTTGTCAAGTTTATAGCATAGGCAATTCATTAATTTTTGAGACAGTAATCTGAGACTTGAGACTCAGCAGTAATTGACCAATCATGTCAATATGGATCAAAATAGTTAAACTGATAAAGGATGCAGACCAAAGGTGCATGTACTTTTTACATCATGTTAGAGTCAATTATTTGAAAAAAAATACGTCTATTTAGGAACTCATGATGTACTGGTATTTCACATGGTGACACATTTTCATTGCATAATATTATTATACTAGCATGTATAGACTGCATATATATTATCAGGGGAACCAAATATAAATCTAAATTTCTTTCACTAACAATACAAATTCACCTATCAGACCTCATGTTGTGTGTGTGCAACTTGTCTCGTGTGTTTCTCAGTTCTGGCAACTTCTGCAGCGGGAACTTACTGATACAGAAAAATTGGAATTTCATATAATTACAAATTTTACATCATTACATCGGTTAATTACTAAGGCTTGCACATACATTATCCGGAAAACAGATTGTTCATCTGAATGTAAGTTATGGGTGAGTTGCTCATTGACCCTGTCCCACGGACTGGTAATAACTCGAGGTTACTTTCCGGTTTGGTCGGTAAATTCAAGTCTATAACTGCACTTATTTTATTTAAAGTGCTTATAAGCCAACATTTATTAACATGTCAAATCTTATATTCACACTTACCGGAACATAACACTCTTCATAAATCCACATTTGTTAATTATTATTTTCTCTTTCGCTGTCAAAATGGCGGTCCAATCCTTCTTGTCAATCATTGCGAGTCACGTGCCGAGTCACGTGATCGAAGACTTACAATTAACTACTATTTGACTGGTCAGTACGGGAAGTGACCAATCTCTGTGTTATAGTAGTCTCAGGTTTAAAGATCAACTAAACTAGACTACAAAAAAAGATGTAAAGAATTATTTATATAAAACCATAAGGCAAAACAAATATAGTTCTGTTTCCTGTCTACCTACATGTACCTACAAATGTACATTAACATATTTTCATGTCTACCCAAACACATTTTATGATCATTTTTCAAAAATTAAATTATTTTACCTATCTATTTTTTTTGTTTGTCAGGAGGCTGAAAACAAATTAATTTTTTCTTGTCCTTACATTTATTTTGTCTTACAGCACCAGAACAGGCACCAGATGGATCCATGATAGGTGGGGGTCGTAAGGACAAACTATTGAAAGGCAATGCCACTGGATTAAATATGGTTAGGTAAGGACAAACTGTTTATAGGTAATGACACATGATTGAACATGGTTAGGTAAGGATAAGCATAAACTGTTGATAGGCAGCAACCTTGACAAGAAAACTGGCAATCCTAGGCAATAAAGATCAGAGTCGAACACATCTTGCCACAACCCGGGTTTAAACTTACAAGCTCAGTGTTGACAGGCAAAACTAAACTCAAGTTCAAAAGAGACATGAAAAGTATTGGAATCATACAATTTTTTTTTATTTTCAGTGAATTTACTTAAAGGAAAAATAATCATAAAAGCTAACTTTCTTCTTTAAAGGCTGAAATTTATTGGTTGTTATATAAATTATTGAAACATAAAGTAGTGTTGACAGATCCTCTCACAGGATTTGTATGACAATCTCAGTGTAAAAAAATGACTCATTGTAATAAAATTACTCATTGTAAAAAAATTAACCATATTTTAATGTTTTCCTGAAAGGAATCTTATGAATACACTACAAATAAGAACACTCTTGTATTTATGAATGATTTTGTCGAGCCTGCGACTTTTGTCGCAAAAGCGAGACATAGCGATCCTACATTCCGTTGTCGGCGTCCACAAATATTCACTCTGTGGTTAAAGTTTTTCAAATTTGAATAACTTTTTTAAACTATCCTGGATTTCTACCAAACTTGGACAGAAACTTGTTTATGATCATAAGATAGTATCCAGAAGTAAATTTTGTAAAAAAAAAATCCTGTTTATCTGTATTTTACCCATAAATGGACTTAGTTTTTCTGGCAGTTAACATTACATTCACTCTGTGGTTAAAGTTTTTCAAATTTTAATCACTTTCTTAAACTATCTTGGATTTGTACCATACTTGGACAGAAGCTTGTTTATGATCATAAGATAATATTCAAAAGTAAATTTTGTTAAAAAAAAAATCCTGTTTATCCGTCAAAAGCTAGTATCTAGAAGGAAATTTTGTAAAAAAAAAATTCCTGTTTTTCCGGCATATATTACTTATAAATAGACTTAGTTTTTCTTCCAGTTAACATTACATACAGTCTGCAGTTAAAGTTTTTAAAACATTTATTAGATTCATAAACCATCCTGAATTTTTACCAAACTTGAACAGAAGCTTCTTACATTCAAAAGATAGTATCTAGAGGAAAATTTTTAATAATTATTTCCCCATTTTTGTTGAGCCTGCGACTAACAGCAAAAGTAGGCGAGGCACTGGGTTCCACGGAACCCTTACGAATTTTTACTGAATCACTGTATTTAATTGTCAATTATTAGCTGAGGGCATTGTGAGCACATGTTGATTAAGTTTTGGTAATTTATGACTGAATTTGTAAATAATTTTAGGAAGAACATAACATGTTACTAACCACTAATAAGATTCATATAATTTGTGATTGCACAGTTTTTATTTTGCATTTTAGAGAAAATTATACAGATTCAGATTCCAATTCACAAACATTACCAAATGGTATAGGTAGACAGTGGAAATATACTGATCCTCCATCGGCAACAAATTTAGCAAGGTACTGTGTATTGAATATCAAATGAAATATGTTTAACCATATCCAGACTTTTCCACATTAAACATTGTCCTATATGGGCTTCAGTCAGGAGCCTGTAATTTATTGGTTATTTTTGTTGCTGTATATCATGTTTGTTTTTAGTTTGTTGCTTTGTGCATGAATACATAAATCAGGCTGTTGGTTTCCTAATTTGATGTCATTAAAACTTAGGCAATTGAGCATAGTACTGTGTATTAAATGTCAAATGAAATATGTTTAACCATCTCCAAACTTTTCAACATTAAAGGTTGTCCTATATGGGCTCCAGTCAGGAGCCTGTAATTCAGTGGTTGTTGTTTGTTGATGAATCATTTGAATTGTTTTACATTTTGTTATATTTGGGTCCTTTTATAGCTTGCTATGTGGTATGGGCTTTGCTCTTTGTTGAAGGTTTTACAGCGATATATAGTTGCTAACATCTAGGTCATTTGGGAAAGCAGTGGGATAGCATTTAATTGTTGTTCTTCATCTCGAAGGCAGAGTGAGACATACTTCCAGACATCCCCTAGCACTTGCTTGAGCTGAAGTCTTTGCTAGATTTAGATAACATAAAACACATAGTTGCTTGGTAACACCAACAGAGACATGTGATCAATCCAGATTCTGTAGGTGTCCTTGTCATTGTCCTTCACCCTCAGGGATCATTATTGGAAAAAAGTGCATTTTCACAACACAGAAATCATTGATTAAGTCTCTGAAAATACCAAGCAATTACTGTACAAAATGGACGATTGGGATGAATGTTAGTCAGTATTAAACATATTTCAATAATTCGTGAGGAATGAATGTGTTAAAATTCAGACAGTTTTGTTTTTAATTAATTTTTTGGCGAAAATAGCTACTGGATAGGTCTTGCTAAAAAATACACTTGTATTTTTGAATTATGACAATATTAATTGTATGCATCATTTCCTGAATACACATTTTATGGTAGCTATTATTAATTTCATTGTTACTTTCAGACCACCTCTACATCCAAACAAAGGAACAGATTCTGAGTCCTGTCAAGGTAAGATTTACCAGCTCCATGTTTTTGTAAGAAATTACATTGTTGTCTGTTAAATAGTTTAAAAGGGCTTTGTAGTACATAACATATAAAAAAATAAAATGATTGTCCTTTAATAAGAATGCATTAAATATAAAAATCCTCATAGATACCAGGATTAAAGTTTTGCATGCCAGACGCGTGTTTTGTCTACAAAAGACTTGTCAGTGACATTCAAATCAAAATAGTTAAAAAGGCCAAATAAAGTATGAAGTTGAAGAGCATTGAGGACTCAAACATCTGGAAGGTTTTGCCGAATACAGCTATTCCTAGGGGTAGAAAATCCTTAGTATACCAAAATATCTGAAATTTCTGTTAACAGTTAAAAGAGAAAGATAGTCTTCCTTTACAGAGTCAGGTCAGGTAATTACATATGAAATATGTAAACTTATGAAAACAATCACTCTTGATTCATTTGTCTTCTTTGGTGTCAATTCTTGTGGTTGAATAGAATTTAGCTATTTTGCTTCTATTAAAGTAACGTCGTCTTTCTTGGTGCATTTAAATTTATGGTTACCAGACTTTCTATTTATCATGGGTCCTTGATGGCCAAGTGTTCTATGTTGTTCTTCTACCATGATCACTAGATTGTCAACTTAGTTTGTGGCAAGGTACATTTGACTCCTATCTTAATTTGCCAATTTGTGGCAAGGTGCATTTGACTCTTATAATAATTTGCCAGTTTGTGGCAAGGTGCATTTGACTCCTATTATAATTCGCCAGTTTGTGGCTGTGGCAAGGTACATTTGACTCCTATCATAATTTGCCAGTTTGTGGCAAGGTACATTTGACTCCTATTATAATTTGCCAGTTGGTGACTGTGGCAAGGTACATTTGACTCCTATCATAATTTGCCAGTTTGTGGCAAGGTACATTTGATTCCTATCATAATTTGCAAGTTTGTGGCAAGGTACATTTAACTCCTATTATAATTTGCCAGTTTGTGGCAAGGTGCATTTGACTCTTATTATAATTTGCCAGTTTGTGGCAAGGTGCATTTGACTCATCATAATTTGCCAGTTTGTGGCAAGGTGCATTTGACTCCTATTATAATTCGCCAGTTTGTGGCTGTGGCAAGGTACATTTGACTCCTATCATAATTTGCAAGTTTGTGGCAAGGTACATTTGACTCCTATTATAATTTGCCAGTTTGTGACTGAGGCAAGGTACATTTGATTCCTATCATAATTTGCAAGTTTGTGGCAAGGTACATTTGACTCCTATTATAATTTGCCAGTTTGTGGCAAGGTGCATTTGACTCATCATAATTTGCCAGTTTGTGGCAAGGTACATTTGACTCCTATCATAATTTGCCAGTTTGTGGCAAGGTACATTTGACTCCTATTATAATTTGCCAGTTTGTGGCTGTGGCAAGGTACATTTGACTCCTATTATAATTTGCCAGTTTGTGGCAAGGTGCATTTGACTCTTATTATAATTTGCCAGTTTGTGGCAAGGTGCATTTGACTCATCATAATTTGCCAGTTTGTGGCAAGGTGCATTTGACTCCTATTATAATTCGCCAGTTTGTGGCTGTGGCAAGGTACATTTGACTCCTATCATAATTTGCAAGTTTGTGGCAAGGTACATTTGACTCCTATTATAATTTGCCAGTTTGTGGCAAGGTGCATTTGACTCTTATTATAATTTGCCAGTTTGTGGCAAGGTACATTTGACTCCTATTATAATTTGCCAGTTTGTGGCAAGGTACATTTGACTCCTATTATAATTTGCCAGTTTGTGGCAAGGTACATTTGACTCCTATCTTAATTTGCCAGTTTGTGGCAAGGTACATTTGACTCCTATCATAATTTGCAAGTTTGTGGCAAGGTACATTTGACTCCTATTATAATTTGCCAGGATTGTCAGTTTTTACTGTTGAAGGTCATTGTTCTCTCTAGGCAATCAGCTCCACCAATAACAATTGGCTGCCATGATATACCCAAGAGTGCTGAGAGTGGTGTTTAGGACAACAATAATCAAACAATTTAGCTGAATTCTATAGTAAATAGTAAGGTTTTAAATTTTAGCCCTGTCAGTAGACAAGTTTAAATGCAATATGAAGATAGAATATACTACCGATATTTTATTCATTCTTTGTCGAAACGATTTTGGAAAAGACAATTGACCTCTATAACTAGTAAAAGATACCTTTCTTGATTATTAATCACACAAACTATACACTTTATAGGTCTGCAGGACATCGATATAGAAATATAAAATATCCTTAAACAGTATGGAAAGGTCTTTGACCTCAAAATCATACATTTATGAAATCCTGTTAAATATTTTGTCTGTTATATTTCAGATAATTCTAGTCAGTCAAAAGATTCTAGTGATGTAAAAAAAGAAGTAAGTCAATATTGTGCATACCTTTCATAAGACTTAATTTAAAGGTTACATCTTGAATTTAACCATTCACCTGTTGGTTCTCAATCATCACCTAATTAAGTAAATTAACTGCAGCGGGGGTCTTGTGGTAGCTTGCTCGCCTCTAATGCTGAGGGTTGTGGGTTTGATCTCTGGCTAGGTCAAACCGAAGACAGTTGGTATTTGTTGCTTCGCCCCTAAGCACACAGAATTTGGGAGCAAGAGCAAAGAGTGGTAGGGTCCCAGTCATAATAATGGGTCCAAGTAGTGTGAAATGTCTTGCACAGACTGTTATGACTTGCATGTTAAAAATTGACCTTAACATGTCTTTCTAGTACAAAATCTTCCACAGACCGTTACCTTGTAAACTAGCACATTAAAAATTTAATTTGGTGTGTCTATCTAGTACAAAGCAGGGTTCATATTCATAACATATAAACATATAAACTTATTCTCATCCTGATATGCATGTAATGTTTGCCACTGGATGTTATTGTTAAAACACCAATAGATAGTTAATATTAAGGCCATGAGTAGACTGTGACTTTTATAAATTCATGGAAGTTCAATGTTTATTTTAGCATTAACAGGATGAACAAGGTTTATTGAATAATGTATATCTTTTTCTTTATTTTACAGGATGACAATTTTAGCAAGGAATATGTGGCTATCTGTAAATACTGTGGTCATTTAAGTAGTAATTTAACTAGATGTGAACGATGTTCTCGGACGTTTCCTGATGATATAAAATTGCGACCAGTGACAGACTCCTGTAAACCGTTAGTAGATAAACAAAAGTTTTATTCCAACAAAATTAGTGAACAAGCTTCTGTTTATGGTGGATATACCATAAAGCATGCAGGTCATACAGTAAAACTTACACAGGACCCAATCAAATCTGGACGTACAGTGAGGAATTCTGGGAAACAGTATAAACTGGTTCATACAAGGAGGATTAATACAATTCCAGAACCAGGTAAAAGCAGACACGGCAAACAAGGATTTCAATTGTCAAATATTTCATGCTTGTTGCTTTTGATTTAAATCATGATTTCTTCAGCAGACGACTGAATAGTGATTTCATTGTTCTCTGAAATTAATTTAACCTATCATTTTGTCTAGGAATTAACTTCTGAAAATACTTGCATCTTTTACTTTTACTACGAATGAAATGAGTGAAAATTTTGATAAATATTTCATTGGATATTTTCAAATTTAGATAGTTTCAAGAAGTGCTTTGGAAAATAGAAGAGGGGAGGTTTCCTCTCCTTTGTGCATACAGGGGAGGAGTTATATGTAAAAAAATGTTTGAATTTTTTTTCATTTAGCCATTGCGGTTAACTTTTAAATGACAGTTAGTAAGTTGTTTATATAGTTCGATAAATTTTATCTATAAAAAAATTTAAAAAAATTTTCTTTACAGTTACTGTTACTATATCTTCTGATGAAGATGAACCAGAAACCAATACGAAATCAGAACAAATTACCCAGAATTCCAAACAGGAAGTTAAAAACAATGAGCCTGATGAACTAAGTGATTTAGTAAATGTTATTCCATTAAAACGACCAGCATCTCCGACATTTGGGAAAGGAAATAGAATTGCTAGGATGGAAAATCAGGTAATAATTATATATTATGGAGAAATGAAGATGACCCAAAGAAAGAAAATAAATGCATTCATTTAATTTTAAGTAAAAATAAGGAGATGTGAAATGATTGCCCATGAAACAACTACCCACCAGAGACCAAAAAATGTGGATGCTAGAAACAATAGGTCACCTTCTGGCCTTCAACAATGAACAAAACCCATACTGTATCTAAAGTAAGCAGTAAAAGGCTCTAAATGACAAAATGTAAACAATTCAAACAAGAAAACCAACAGCCTGATTTATGATCAAATCTGAATATTTAATTTTACATTTCAAAATGAACGCAATCTTGTCCCTTCAATGCTCAGTAGCACATTGATTATTATTTGTTGTCGAGCCTTCGACTTTAGTCGAAAAAGCGAGACATAGCGATCTTACATTCCGTCGGCGGCGTCCACAAATATTCACTCTGTGGTTAAAGTTTTTGAAATTTTAATAACTTTCTTAAACTATCCTGGATTTCTACCAATCTTGGACAGAAGTTTGTTTATGATCATAAGATAGTATCCAGAAGTAAATTTTGTAAAAAAATAAATCCATTTTTTCCTTATTTTATTTTTAAATGGACTTAGATTTTCTGCCAGGAAACAACACATTCACTCTGTGGTTAAAGTTTTTAAAATTTTAATAACTTTCTTATACTATTTTGGATTTGTACCAAACTTGGACAGAAGCTTGTTTATGATCAAAAGCTAGTATCTAGAAGGAAATTTTATAAAAAAATAAATCCATTTTTTCTGAATTTTTTCTTTTAAATGGACTTGGATTTTCTGCCAGGAAACAACGATTAAAGTTTTTAAAATTTTAATAACTTTCTTATACTATTTTGGATTTGTACCAAACTTGGACAGAGGCTTGTTTATGATCAAATGCTAGTATCTAGAAGGAAATTTTGTTTTCTTCCAGTTAACATTACATTCAGTCTGCAGTTAAAGTTTTTAAACTTTTGTTAGATTCATAAACTATCCTGGATTTTTACCAAACTTGGACAGAAGCTTCTAACAATCAAAAGATAGTATCAAGTGGAATATTTTTATTGATTTACCTCCTCATTTTTGTTGAGCCTGCGATTAACAGAAAAAGTAGGCAAGACACTGGGTTCCACGGAACCCTTACGAATTTTTTAACTACTTTAGGATGCAGCACTTCTGAAGTTAAAATATCTCAGCACATTTTCACATTAAATTTTACAAATTTTGTCACCAGTCAAGGGTATATCTTCAACAAGTTATTAGAGAAAATTAGTAGATTATATAACTGAAATTGAAGGATAAGTTACCATTGAATCATGAGGTATCATTGACGAATTGCTAGAATAATCCCAAAAATATGTAATATTTAATCAATTCTGCTAAAAGAAAAATTATTTCAAGACAATGCTACCATAAAATACAACATACTGGTAATCACTGTGCCCACATTGATTCACTGGAAGTCACGAATAATAATGTAAACATGTTGAAATCACAAAAGATCTAAACAACAAAACAAACAGTGCTAAATTTGAAAGTAGCAGATCTAATTTGCATTTGACCTGACAAAAATATTTGTGATAAATCAAAGTTATAACAGACAATGTTTTTTTGTACAATAATGGACGTGTTATTTGAGCACGATTCATGACAGGAGGAGATAACTTTGTCAGAATTCCCACAATAACAGTATGCCTATTATTTTCTCTAATAAGTTGTTTAAGTCATACCCTTGACTGACCACTGTGCCAAAGAAGAGGATATGATGGTTTACCTTTGTTCGTCTGATCCAAGAAAATATGTGTCTCAAATTTCTCGGGAATGACAAATTCGAGCTTCCTGAAATTGATGTATCCACGAAAATAAGGTTTACAGTTTTCATTGCTTATTGTTATATTTTATGAATAAAAAGAAGAGTGTGGTGTAAGTTAACAAGACAGTGACCCAACAATGCATATAACTATAATCAAAACAATGTTAAAAATCAATCTTTAGATTTAGAAAAAATAAAGCCTCTCATTTGAACTACTTACATTTCACAGTCATACGTTCCTTACGAGGATAATTAATTGGTATTCATTTTATTTTTAATCAAAGGATGGTCAGCCAGTACGGAAAGTGAAGAGACAAAACTCAGGTGATGGGATGACACCAATTCGGACAGTATCTACTAAGACTGCTGTGATTGATACGAAGTCTGGTACGACAGAGATGACAGAGGATGACGAAGTGACTGGAACACTTGACCCTCTTGCACTTGATTGTCGAAGCATTCGTGTTGGTAGTTTGAAGGGGACTGCCGTGGAACCTGTCTTTATTACTACTACTAATATTTCATTTAACATGGAAGGTATGCAACCAAATATAAAATTGAATAATTTGAGTACTTCAGAGTTCTCGAAATCTTTTTTTGCCTGGTGGTCCTTGAAGAAAATATGCAGGTCCTCACTATAATTTCTATTGCAAATTACCAAAAATGTGGTGGTCAAATCCCTAGGACCACCACTTATCGAGAACTCTGGTACTTATTACATTTTTTTTGCTCAACATAGGATATAAGAGGATTTTGTGTTTTAAAACTTGTGCATCATCTGTCTGTTCACCTTGCATGCTGTCCTGTATCAGGTTTAAGTTTTGGTTTAAGGTAGATTATTCTGAAGTTGTGGTCATATCAAATCGAAACTTTGTACACATACTCAATAAACTATGCACCTTAAAAAAAATGTGTCGATTAAGGATTTTGACCTAGATGTCATGGTTCAGTAGACAAGGAAATGTGACCATGTGAGCTAAACATGGTGTCCTATAGATGCATATTTATAGATTGTTGGTTTTAAAAACTAAGAGGAAGTTTCACAGCTTCAATCTCATTGTAGAAACTTCCTTGAGTTGACTGACCATAGATAATCTGTTAATCACTATTTTCCTAGGCAGTGTCAATAACGTAGGCTTATGATGTCATTATGTTCTCACTCGACCCGATTGAGTAAAGTCATTATTGGTCGAGTTTCTTGAGATTGAATTTATCACACAGAAAGATAAAAGCAAAATTAAAAAAAATTTATGACTAGGTATTTGTCTTATTCTACTGTAAATTCAGAAATTATTGCGTGCATTTATTATTGCGATTTTGTCATTTTAGACTAAAATGCGATTTTAATTTTTGCGATATTGAGAAAAATCCTGTTTAATTCATATAAAAAATTTCAAAATGTGAGTTTAAATTATTGCGATTATAACCCTGTCGCATTTTTCGCAATAATAAAAACATCGCAATAATTTCTGAATTTACAGTAATGTGTTTTAAGTTAAATTCACTGTTTTTAGACAAAGGAGGAGGTATGGTCAAGGGCCATTTATTGGTACCTTCAATTTTAAAGTTAGAAAGATTCTTGTTGTCTTACAAACATGTTCTTTATTATATTAATAATGAAATGAATAAATGTAATCTTGACAATTAAGTGCAGAAATGTCATTTGTGATGTCACTTAGATGTCACAAATATTTCTTAATGGACATATCTGACTTAAAATGGCCATTTTACACATGTATTTTTTTTTTTAAATATATACAAATTAGATATAGGCTTACCGAAAAAAAAATGAAATTTTACAGACAATACTATTTTTGAAAAAGATATTTTGGGCAAAATATCTCTTTCAGTCAAGCTTATCTTATATCTAAATATTAAAGACAAAATCTCAATGTAAGTCGGTTTTTTGGCTGTTTTTGCAGTTATGCATTAAATGCAAGAAGTTTAGAGCCATAATGCAAATATGTGTAAAACAAAATTTTATTAAAATGTAGATATAAATATCTCACTGACTAATGTCTTATTAACTTCTGAATGATGTTACTTGATAAATTTATATTAATCCTTTTTCACTTCTTAATTCAATGGCCAAAAAAATTGCTTGATCATACAGATTCCATTAATTGTTTTTTTTTAATATATCCATGCCATATCAGACTAGTTCATTTTACAGCTAAATTCTGGTAAGGTAAATTCCAAACCCCCTTCTGGAAAAGCTCTCAGTTATAAATAGTGATATTTTTTATTCCAGGAGAAGATGATTTCCACAATCTAAAAATAAATTCAGACGATGTTGTACAGTGCCTTTATGGAAAGAAATGTAATGTGATATTTTTATTAACAAACATTGAAGCTGGTAAAAAAGTCCGGGAATGTTTAAGTATGAAGGAAAAAGTGGATGGCAAGGCATATTTTGATCCTGGTGGTTCAGGTAAGACTGTAAGAAAATAATCATTGGGTCATCTATATACACTACAAAAGTCTAAAAGTCTGAAAAGACCAGTTTTTGTCTTAATTTGCATGAACTTTTACTCGACATTCTCCAAAAGTATGACTTGTGTCTTAATTTTTCTTGACAAATTCTCATTTATATTAAATTTGTATGAAATTTACTCGACATATTCTCGACATTCTGAATATGGTCTTAAAATTTCTTGACAAATTCTTGACATTTGAATACTGTCTTGAAATTTCTCGACATTCTTATTTTTTCTCAGTATGGCTTGACATATTCTGAACATTTTGAATCGTGTCTTAAATTTACTAGACAGTTCTGAGTTTTACAAATCATGACCAATATTCATGATATAACTTTAATCTTTATTTCTCTTTATATGATATACTGTCAAGTTACACTTCTTTACAACAAAAATAAAAGTTGGGCATGTAAAATAATTGAAAATTTGGGTATATAAATATTTTTACAAATGCAAATATGGCTATGAAATCTAATGTATAAAATAATTCAAATGTGGGTTTTTAAATAATTACAAATTTTGATTCCTAAATCTTATAAATTAAATGATTCAAACCAATCATACTGTAGACATATTTCATTCTACATTCATAATATTCAATGTTGATATGGTAAATAATTATTATACCAAAATGTGGTTTATATAAATAGCAAATTATGATGATATACAAATCATTCATTTAACAGAAGAAAAATTTGTGTAATGTCATCTGTTGGAATATATTAAGTATTAACATGGACAGGATGTTCCCAATAAAATTAAGGTATTCCACACCCCAGAGTACACGCAACTGTCAAATAGAAGTTATTGCTTTACCTGTAATCAGCCATACAACTTATCAGTTGACCGACCATGCCACTACAATTTAAAAAGTTTGTTGATAGATGAAAATAAAAATCATCATTTTGATGAAAAAAAATTGAATTGAAATGGATTTTCTTCATCAAAATTATGAAGTTAATTATTTTAACATAAAAACAAATTGAATAATTCCCAAAGATTAAAAGAAAATTATTATCTACTCCAGGAAAAATAAAAAAAATGTATTTATAATGGGTCCCATCAATGATTTCTATAGAAATCATCGGTCTTGTGAAATGGTTCTCAAACAGACATGCATAATATAGATCTAAACATTTTTTTCTTTTCAGGAAGGAGTTATCACAAATATTTATTTTTGATAAAAGTAAAATTCAACACTCAAATTTGAATAAAAAATGTTTTTGGGTTGTTCTAAAAAATGAATAAGGTTTTTGAATCAAGATGGGAACAAATTCTTTGACCTAAACGAAAGCCCCCCCTCTTTTTTTAGCCACACAAACCCAAAAGATGAATTGTGGGGTCCAAATGAGATACAAGACACCTATTTTAGTAAAGCAAATTTGACTGGCAGTTTTGCGAACGGCAAAAATCTAAATGCTGTTTGTCAATACCTTCGACTTATATTCCAAATGAAAACAATTACTTAAATGTTTAATAAAAATAAATCAAAATTAAACTACATGGGGGATTATTCAGGGTATTCCAACTTAGTTGCACCAAAAGGGTATCTTACTATACCAAATTAATCCTTGATTCTTCAAAGTTTAGTTTAGCCATAATAAAAAGGAGTATACAACAGCAATAGAATGTCAAAAACAGTGCAGCATAAGTCTGTTCACATTTCAGGCGAAATTTATACTGTTGAGATAGTGTCAAGACATATTTAAGACTGTCAAGAATGTGTCGAGACATATTCATACATTATTAAGAATGTCAAGAATATGTCGAGACATATTCAGACATTATTAAGAATGTCAAGAATATGTCAAGACAGATCGAGACAAATTTAAGACAGTCAAGAATTGGTCGAGACTAATCCAGACTCTTATCAGATGATACAGGAAGTGTCGAGAAATTTTAAAACAATGTTCATACTGTCAAGACACTTGTCAAGAAAAATCAAGAACCTTATTAGACAAATTCATACTATGTCAAGAATTTTTAAAAATTATTCAGACAAATTAAGAATGTCGAGTAAAAATTCATGCAAATTCAGACAAAAACTGGTCTTTTCAGACTTTTTGACTTTTGTAGTGATATTTTATTTCATGTTCAGAATGGAGATGTTAAATCCGATGCCTTGTGTAGAGAGAGTGCCACACTCTTTGCACGTTAAGAACCCTTGCAACAACTCTTTGAGGGGTCTGTAGGTGGCCTGTTGCAAGGCCAAATTTCTGTCCCTTTCCAATACACCCTCATTTTCCAGTGGTAGTCGAAATTTGCCCGACCTTCATCCCGGACGGCCTCTCTTACAGGACCTACCTATTGTATTTATTTCTAATTTGTTCTTGTCCTGAATATGCATGAAATATTTGCCACTGGACATTAAGCAACCACCAATCAATCATCAATCATCTATATATTTTAATGGACAGGTACTGGTTAAACCCACAAATTTCTGTATGCTATTTCTCGTAATCAGGCATCCATCAAAGGGTGCAATCAAAAACCGTTAAAACAGGTGAAAAGAAAAAGGACAAAAGGCAAGTTATAACAAAACTTTACATTGAAAACTATGATTGAAAAAAGATTGATGAGTTTTGAGTTAACAAAAAGAAAAATTAAGGTTAAAAATGAATGAGGCAGTTATACAGTAATTGAATGAAACATCTATAGTGCATGGTAAAATCTTGACCAATGATCAGTTGCCTACACAATATACATGTAGCAAGTGCAAAGTAGTGCAGCAAAAAGTAAGAACGTTATATTAGCAGTTGAATTTCCATTGACAGTATATTTTTAGCTAATCACAACTTTTTGGTGTACACTTATGAAATTATAACTCAAAATGCATTAGATTCTGAAATGGGGACTTGAAGTATGAAATTAACAGGATTTTAAAATGGTCATCTGACCTTATCAGAAGAACATGCTACAAAAGGGGCCTTATACAGAATGCTGGCAATATGAACAAGTGTTGTAAACAAGTTTTATCAATGGGAGCAATATCTTTTGTTACATATATTTCTATTTTCTTCCGTTTCAGTGAATAAAGATACGTATATAACATTTTTTATGAACGATCAATGCAAGCTAGAATTTAAACAGTTGCGAAGTGTTCTCAAGTCCTACAAGAATTCTAAAAAACGTGAGTTCCTCATGCAACTTGATGAAGATGACCAGCATAAACTGTTACTTAAAACTGCACCTAACATTAGTTCAAAAACTATGGAAATAGCCAAACAAAAGACATTAGAAGAATCGAATTCTACTGAGGACAGTACAGACTCAAGGGCAGTAACTCCGTCAAATTCAAGGGCAGTGACTCCAGCAGAAGATGGTGAAGAACGATCACCGTCACCGCCGAGAATACTGTTTAGTGGCACAGTAGAAAAGTAAGATGTCTTTTTTTTTTTAAATTTAAAAAAAAAAATTTAAATTTTTAAAATATGACTTTTAAGAACATTGAAATCAATCTAAATCAATTGCATGTCACAACTACATTCTGTAAACATTGATATTTTATTGGGTGTTATTTTTGCATACTTCTCATATATAAAAATTGCTTGAAAATATTTTGACTGCAAACAGTATGTCATAATCAACAATATTAAGGTGAAGGGCTCATTTATTGTTCAATGCACACATCAAACTAGTGTGAAAAGTTTACACATTAAAATTTGAAAAAAACAACCCACAAAAAAAAACATCAACATTTAAAAAAAAATTGTATTGCTGATTTTGAACTCACATTATGTATTTTGATAGGTTTATTGCTATTCAGTAATCAAATTATTATACTCACTTTTTATTTCAATATCATATAGTTGCATTTTTTAAAGAAATAACTGGACCTGAACACTTGCAGTTTATTTTATTCAGTATATTTTCAAAATGTTATGTAGTTCTATTTTCAAGTATCACTTTTGAATTTGAAATATCATCCCTCGTGAAAGTCTTAAAAAATGTTCAGAAAAAACCCAACCTTGCTAAGATTTATAGAGCCTTCCTTTACCAAGCAAGCTCTCTAAGATTTTTTTTGTTAATACATCAGTAATACTGTTATTAAACAAACATGCTCATGGCACACTTAAAGTGTAAAAATATTTATTGAAAAAAAGAAAAAGGTTGAGTATCTGAAAATGCTTATTCTAATTGACTGTTTCAGGTTAATTACATATCCACCTCCTCCTGCAACAGGGGGAATAACTGTGACAAATGAAGACCTTTTCTGTCTCACTGATGGAGAGTTCCTAAATGATGTTATCATTGATTTCTACCTCAAGTAAGTATTTCATTCACAACTTTTAAATATAATGTTGTGTATGTTTGCTAAATATGATTGTAGACATGAAGATAGATGGATAGGATCATCATCAACTTAATAACAAAATAATACCTGTATGTGTCAACCGTCCACACCTCGAAATCTGGAGATTTTACTTTAGAATGAAGAAACATTCTACAAACTTTATGCATCTGGAACATTTTCTGGATATATCTTCATTTGGAATACACTAACCAAACAATTCGAAAGCCATGTATATATAACAACTAAAATATGGGAGGAGCTTAATAGGATTAAGAGATCTATAATCAACATTTATATATTGTTTCAATCGAGTGATACCAATTTTTCTGAAGAAAAAAAGGAATGCTTGTCATCCATCTTAAGCCATGATCATTGAATTTACTTAGGAAAATAATGACAAACAGATTTTCAATGATCTTTCAAAATTATCACCCTTCGATGAGATTGTTGCCAACAAACTCTGTCTTGTTTGAAGAACCATTGTGAATCTATAATTAATTTTACATGGGAGCAGTATTCCTAGAAGAAGCTGAAAATAACTAGGTCTTTATTCTTCTTAATTATATTTCAGATATCTTGTCCATGAAAAACTGAGTGAATCAGATCGTAAGAGGACCCATGTCTTCAGTTCCTTCTTCTTCAAACGATTGACACAGCGAATTAATAGAAGTATAGATCCACATGGAGATGTAGAAATGAGGTTTGTATCAGAGAAAAAATTCTTTCACAAGGGGCATGTCAATTTTTTATTTGACTTAAACTGTAGAACATATGATTTCATGATAGCTTACTGGCTGCTAGTGTGAGATGAATTTATATAAACAGGTACCTTCAACAACTTAATCAATTCTGTTAATCAGAAGAAAACAAATAACAGCTGTTTAATAGGATGTCAAGTTAATAAAGAATATTTGGAAAAAAAACTTAAAGAACAAGGGACAAATAAAACCAATTCTCGCTATTTTTCGAATTTTTCCTTTGATCTTGCTGACTGATAATTTCCCGTCTCAGTGGAGTCGAGTGATTATGAAAATTATCGCTAGAAACTAAGGGAACACGTGCCGTTGTCAAGGAAATTTACAACGTCTTCATAGGTAAAGTAGCGATAAACAGATTATCATTGGTCATTTCTACTCGATTGCTTTTCTCACTTTCGCCGTACCAGCTCAAGCGAGAAAATTAATCTCGTTGAGATAACCAACGATAATCTATAATTTAATATATGCCTCTTTAGTACCTAGAATTGATTATTATAGCTTAATACATATACATCATGTAAGATATTGGTGTCTTGTTTAGAAAGATTACAAACATTGTTAGTCAGGGGCGTAACTAAATGATATATCTGAAAAGAAGAAGAAGAAAAGAATGAAAATGTTTTGGTTATAATTGTAACTTAAGGGATGATATCCCTGCTGATATGGACATTGGTGTTTTAGAATTATAGAATTATGGAATGATATGGGAATTTTGAAGGCACCTATTATTGATAATACAAGGGTAGGAGGTTTCTATACAACTTTTTTCACAGTAATGCATCAGATTTCTAATTAGAATTTTATGGTTGGGGCAGGGCCTAATATAGGATTTTGGAGAGGGAGAAGTGACTTCTCCTTCCATGAGAGAGAAGGGAGAAGTGAGATTCCATTACCGTCTCGGTTGCATAGTGTTCTCGTGCTTATCACTAAGGAAATTGTTTTATATGCAATAAAAAATATACATGCAGTTTTATCATGTTATTGTACAAAATGTATATATAGAAAGTTGTTAATAAAAAGGTTTTGACAATATATTTGTTATTTATTCATTGATACCATTTGTACTGTCAACTTGAATTTAAGTTTAAATAAAATTTGTTGCTTGGGACATGAGGGAGTAGCCTAGTAATATTATGATGCATTAAATTCATGTGCATCTGCCTCAATTTATTATTAAATGTCCAGAAAAATATGACTCCCAGTTTACCTGATGAATTTCACATGACTGGGAATTTAATTTATATCACCACTTGTCATTATTTTGTAAAACATTATTGAATGTCCAGGACATCATGTTACATGTAGTTGTAAATTGAGATTCTCGTTAAAGATTGTAAGCCTATAAATGAAAATATCTGTCAATCACATATTAATTAACCGATACAGAGCTAATTTCTATCATTTTTTAAAGATAAATTCCCTATCAACGAAATTGTGGTGAAAAAAAAAATTCACTGCTGATCACAGCTAGTCGAGTGTCGTACGTTTGCAATCACATTATCCGTCAGCTGTCTTTCTACCTTTTATATTTCAGTTTTTATTCAATGAATATAATAAATCTACCGTTAATTCCCACCCTTAACCCACCGAATAGTACAATTTGATCGACTCGTAATAAATAAAAATAAAACAAATCAGCTGAGTGATTACGCAACATCCTCAGATAAAAATCATCGTAAAATGATAACTTTAACAGACGGTCAGTTTTCCGATTGAATAGTTTTGAATGTTTTATCCAAGGATGTTCAAAGTCGCCGTTTTATTTATTTAATTTGATCGTCGACAGTATTAGTCCTGGGTCGTTTCGAAAATCTCGATTTTCCTTGGCAGTCGCCATTTTTTTTTAACCTGGGAGACTTGTAATTCACAAGTTGTCTCCCTTTTACCGATTTTCATAGCGATTTGACTTCGCCATGAAGTCAGTCGGCTGGCAATATTTAGCGATTTTCAAAATTCTTTGGCGACTTAAATCGTCATTTCGCCGGCAAGATTATGGCCTGGGTTGGGGGTCTTAGAGGAAAATATTCACTTCAATTCCCCATACATTTAAATTTTGGAATAGCGCTCTTTACCATAACTTTCTGAATTTGTTCAGGGATGTAAATAATTGAACCAGCTTTTTATATGACCTACATTGAGTTTTCAATATTAAACAAAGAACTATTGTGACTAATGTCTGTATTGCAGTTTATCAGAAAGAAGACACGCTCGAGTGAAGAAATGGACAAAGCATGTAGATTTGTTTGAAAAAGACTTTATAATAGTTCCAATAAATGAAAGGTATGTTGAGGCTTGTTTAGTGGTAAGTGTCATATGTTGAAAGTGATAAAAGGTATGTTTTGTTTTGTCTGTGACATTTATATTGAAAAATCTTATACCAAGAAGGCAATACATAACAAAGAGATACAATCCAAACAATAAGCTTCAAAATACCAAGAGGGTAATCACCTCTAAAAAATTATATGATTTTGATCACAAACCACATTTTATATCCTCTGTCAGTTATATTCCAGAGATTGAGTAGCACAAAAACATAAAAAAAAAACCTTGTATGTCTAAACTAAGGTCAGCTCTGCCTGGTGGAGTAACAACCTCAGGTCTAGCACTGAAAAAGAAAAAGCAAAGACAAGACAAGATCATTGTCATAGAGTAAAAAGACATCACCCCCCACCTCCCCCCCCCCCCCCCCCCCCAAAAAAAAAATAAAATAAAGAAAAACATCCTCAATATGTTACACATGAAATTGCGCAACACTGAAAAGAGAGGTTTGAATTTTAAAGATACTAGGCTAGATATTATGCAATATGTACTTAAATACTTATGTTAAGAATTATAGTGTTACATTGGCAAACTTGGCACAAAGGAAAATTTCGACAAATACTTGAAAATTCAAATCAAAAGTTTAGAATGGCCAATATTTTTTAAGAGGATGGTTTCAGCTTTAAGCAATACTATTAACCCAAATAAATTATTCTGTTTCAGGTCACATTGGTTTTTAGCAATAATTTGTTTTCCTGGATATACAGAGGTAAAAACTGTTCGATATTTTTGTCGAGAAACTACGGCGGAGGAAACCCCTGAATCAAAGGGAGATAATTCTCAGACAGACACTGATGAATCTCAACAGCCATCTGTAGGTGAAAATAACAACAAGGAAAATCAAAATACTGAGGAGGAGAGCAGTGAAAAATCAAATGATGTGAAATGTAAACAAGAATCTCCTATGGAAGAAGATGAAGAACAGGTAAGCATTATTTGACCCCCCCCCCCCCCCCCCCCACCCAATCCCCTCTCTTAAAAAGAAGGAAGAATAAAAGATAGTGATACCAAGAAACACATTTTTATATGACCGCAAAAAAATTTTGTGGTCGTATATTGATATTGGTATGACGTTGGCGTTGGCGTTGTCGGCGTCGTCGTCCGAAGACACATTGGTTTTCGCACTCTAACTTTAGTTTAAGTGAATGGATCTGTATGAAATTTTACCATAAGGTTCAATACCACAAAAGAAAGGTTGGGATTGATTTTGGGGGTTATGGTACCAACAGTTAGGGAATGAGGGGCCAAAAATAAGCATTTTTGTAACTTCCAGACATAACTTGTGTGTTAGTGTATGGATCTCTCTGACATTGTACACAAGGTTCCATATCACAAAGGGAATGCTGGGATTGATTTTGGGGCTAATTGCCTCAAAATTTTAGGAATTGGGGGCCAAAAAAGGGGCAAAAAACAAGCATTTTTCTAGTTCATGACAATAACTTGTGTGTAAGTGTATGGATCTTTCTGAAATTGTACTACAAGGTTCAATATCACAAAGGGAAAGCTGGAATTGAGTTTGGGGGTGATTGCCCAAAACGTTTAGGAATTTGGGGCCAAAAAGGGGCCAAAAATAAGCATTTTTCTAGTTTCCAGACAATAACTTGTGTTCAAGTGTATGGATCTCTCTGAAATTGTACTGCAAGGTACCATACCACAAAGGGAAGGCTGGGATTGAGTTTGGGGGGTGATGAATTATAAGGGGGTTCAAAAAATTGGACGGGGGGATTTTTTTTTCCTTTTTTTTTTTCTTTTAGATTTTCCATTTTAAATTGGTTATTTCTGATTTATAAATAAAAACAAATAAAAATGATTTGGTTTGAATAGATAAATTAAAAATTTATAAGTTCTTAGACCACATTCATTCTGTGTCAGAAACCTATGCTGTGTCAAATATTTAATCACAATCCAAATTCAGTGTGTATCAAACTTGAATGTTGTGTCCATACTTGCCCTAACTGTTCAGGGTTCGACCTCTGCGGTTGTATCAAGCTGTGCCCAGAAAAGCATTTTATTAGTTATTTTCATAGAAGCAAATTATCAAACCATGAAATTAGATTGTCATAAAATAGCAAATGTTTTTACTTCTATAGAAATTGATACCAATAAGAGGGGCGTAAAGGGGGAGTATCTGCACGGAAGAACGCGAAATAAAATTGCCATTTCACGATGAACGAACAATTCAAAATTTCTTGCACGTTGATCTTTTTACCGAACACGAAACACGTTGAATAACGAACCTTTTTCACGGCTGCACGTGAAATAAAAATGACAAAATACGTTGCACGAAAATAACCCTTTACCACCCTCCAATAAGAATTAAGTGAGTGTGAAGCATTTTAAAGAATATCAAAAGAGTTGTGACAGGCAGCACTCTTTTTCTTTACCTTTACATATACAATTTTGATAAGAAACAGGGTGTTTTAATCCAAGCCTACCCTTAGCTTCTCTTGGAATAACCTTAAATGGAGAACATAAATTTACAAGAGAATATTTTTATCTTACAGGATAATGAAGAGCCAATGGACACAAATGAAACTGAAACAAACATGGATACAGCTGAGACTGGTTCCAATAGTGGTGTTGATTCACAGGTTTGCACATTGTTATTATGTACTGAATCTGATTAAAATACAGATTCTGGATCTACTCTTCCCTAACAAGGATCTGAAAACGCTCAGTTTTTCTTTCTGTTTGGATGACCTTTCAGGATCCTTAGGTTTTGTGATAATAATATACACCCTTCAAAAATTAGAAGGCAGGCATTCTATTTTTAAAATTTTGAGTAACTTATCTTTTCAGCGAAAATGTTTATGCTTGGCATCCACAAGTTCATTGCAATTCATCTAGTGCCAAACAAATGTCTAATAATAAATAAAAGGAGATGAAGAGTAAATGTCAATAATGAAAACAAAAAAAACACATTTACATCTATGATCTAGAGGTCAACATACACAATATGTCAAGTTCTGAGTTGCTCCAAAGTTACAAATTTTTTTAATGAGTTTAACAGAGACAATCAAAGACCTGCATAATTCACTTAACATAATTTTCCAGACAGCTTGATGAGAAATGCATTTCAAGTATAAATATGGCACTGATAAAATATATATAATACATATAGATTTAAATTAGTTAACAATATTTTTGTTTTTACAGGAACCTAGGGGCAGATTATTGACTGAAGAGGAATTAAAAGATCCAGAAATGATAAAGAATTCTAAAGAGGGGATACAACAGTAAGATTTCATTAAAGGCAGTTCAGGGGGTCACATCCAGTCTGGACAGCTGTATTATGTTCAGGGGGTCACATCCAGTCTGGACAGCTGTATTATGTTCAGGGGGTCACATCCAGTCTGGACAGCTGTATTATGTTCAGGGGGTCACATCCAGTCTGGACAGGGGGTCACATCCAGTCTGGACAGCTGTATTATGTTCAGGGGGTCACATCCAGTCTGGACAGCTGTATTATGTTCAGGGGGTCACATCCAGTCTGGACAGCTGTATTATGTTCAGGGTGTTCAGGGGGTCACATCCAGTCTGGACAGCTGTATTATGTTCAGGGGGTCACATCCAGTCTGGACAGCTGTATTATGTTCAGGGGGTCACATCCAGTCTGGACAGTTGTATTATGTTCAGGGGGTCACATCCAGTCTGGACAGCTGTATTATGTTCAGGGGGTCACATCCAGTCTGGACAGCTGTATTATGTTCAGGGGGTCACATCCAGTCTGGAAAGCTGTATTATGTTCAGGGGGTCACATCCAGTCTGGAAAGCTGTATTATGTTCAGGGGGTCACATCCAGTCTGGACAGGGGGTCACATCCAGTCTGGACAGCTGTATTATGTTCAGGGGGTCACATCCAGTCTGGACAGGGGGTCACATCCAGTCTGGACAGCTGTATTATGTTCAGGGGGTCACATCCAGTCTGGACAGCTGTATTATGTTCAGGGGGTCACATCCAGTCTGGACAGTTGTATTATGTTCAGGGGGTCACATCCAGTCTGGACAGCTGTATTATGTTCAGGGGGTCACATCCAGTCTGGACAGCTGTATTATGTTCAGGGGGTCACATCCAGTCTGGAAAGCTGTATTATGTTCAGGGGGTCACATCCAGTCTGGACAGCTGTATTATGTTCAGGGGGTCACATCCAGTCTGGACAGGGGGTCACATCCAGTCTGGACAGCTGTATTATGTTCAGGGGGTCACATCCAGTCTGGACAGCTGTATTATGTTCAGGGGGTCACATCCAGTCTGGACAGCTGTATTATGTTCAGGGGGTCACATCCAGTCTGGACAGGGGGTCACATCCAGTCTGGACAGCTGTATTATGTTCAGGGGGTCACATCCAGTCTGGACAGCTGTATTATGTTCAGGGGGGTCACGTCCAGTCTGGACAGCTGTATTATGTTCAGGGGGGTCACATCCAGTCTGGACAGCTGTATTATGTTCAGGGGGTCACGTCCAGTCTGGACAGCTGTATTATGTTCAGGGGGGTCACATCCAGTCTGGACAGCTGTATTATGTTCAGGGGGTCACGTCCAGTCTGGACAGCTGTATTATGTTTAGGGGGTCACATCCAGTCTGGACAGCTGTATTATGTTCAGGGGGTCACGTCCAGTCTGGACAGCTGTATTATGTTTAGGGAGTCACGTCCAGTCTAGACAGCTGTATTATGTTCAGGGGGTCACATCCAGTCTGGACAGCTGTATTATGTTCAGGGGGTCACATCCAGTCTGGACAGCTGTATTATGTTCAGGGGGTCACATCCAGTCTGGACAGCTGTATTATGTTCAGGGGGTCACATCCAGTCTGGAAAGCTGTATTATGTTCAGGGGGTCACGTCCAGTCTGGACAGCTGTATTATGTTCAGGGGGTCACATCCAGTCTGGACAGCTGTATTATGTTCAGGGGGTCACATCCAGTCTGGACAGCTGTATTATGTTCAGGGGGGTCACATCCAGTCTGGACAGCTGTATTATGTTCAGGGGGTCACATCCAGTCTGGACAGCTGTATTATGTTCAGGGGGTCACGTCCAGTCTGGACAGCTGTATTATGTTCAGGGGGGTCACGTCCAGTCTTGACAGCTGTATTATGTTCAGGGGGGTCACATCCAGTCTGGACAGCTGTATTATGTTCAGGGGGTCACATCCAGTCTGGACAGCTGTATTATGTTCAGGGGGTCACATCCAGTCTGGACAGCTGTATTATGTTCAGGGGGTCACATCCAGTCTGGACAGCTGTATTATGTTCAGGGGGTCACGTCCAGTCTGGACAGCTGTATTATGTTCAGGGGGTCACATCCAGTCTGGACAGGGGGTCACATCCAGTCTGGACAGCTGTATTATGTTCAGGGGGTCACGTCCAGTCTGGACAGCTGTATTATGTTTAGGGAGTCACGTCCAGTCTAGACAGCTGTATTATGTTCAGGGGGTCACATCCAGTCTGGACAGCTGTATTATGTTCAGGGGGTCACATCCAGTCTGGAAAGCTGTATTATGTTCAGGGGGTCACATCCAGTCAGGACAGCTGTATTATGTTTAGGGGGGTCACATCCAGTCTGGACAGCTGTATTATGTTCAGGGGGTCACATCCAGTCTGGACAGCTGTATTATGTTCAGGGGGTCACATCCAGTCTGGACAGCTGTATTATGTTCAGGGGGTCACGTCCAGTCTGGACAGCTGTATTATGTTTAGGGAGTCACGTCCAGTCTAGACAGCTGTATTATGTTCAGGGGGTCACATCCAGTCTGGACAGCTGTATTATGTTCAGGGGGTCACATCCAGTCTGGACAGGGGGTCACATCCAGTCTGGACAGCTGTATTATGTTCAGGGGGTCACATCCAGTCTGGACAGCTGTATTATGTTTAGGGAGTCACGTCCAGTCTGGACAGCTGTATTATGTTCAGTGGGTCACGTCCAGTCTGGACAGATGTATTATGTTCAGGGGGTCACATCCAGTCTGGACAGCTGTATTATGTTCAGGGGGTCACATCCAGTCTGGACAGCTGTATTATGTTCAGGGGGTCACATCCAGTCTGGACAGTTGTATTATGTTCAGGGGGTCACGTCCAGTCTGGACAGTTGTATTATGTTCAGGGGGTCACATCCAGTCTGGACAGCTGTATTATGTTCAGGGGGTCACGTCCAGTCTGGACAGCTGTATTATGTTCAGTGGGTCACGTCCAGTCTGGACAGATGTATTATGTTCAGGGGGTCACATCCAGTCTGGACAGCTGTATTATGTTCAGGGGGTCACATCCAGTCTGGACAGGGGGTCACATCCAGTCTGGACAGCTGTATTATGTTCAGGGGGTCACATCCAGTCTGGACAGCTGTATTATGTTTAGGGAGTCACGTCCAGTCTGGACAGCTGTATTATGTTCAGTGGGTCACGTCCAGTCTGGACAGATGTATTATGTTCAGGGGGTCACATCCAGTCTGGACAGCTGTATTATGTTCAGGGGGTCACATCCAGTCTGGACAGCTGTATTATGTTCAGGGGGTCACATCCAGTCTGGACAGGGGGTCACATCCAGTCTGGACAGCTGTATTATGTTCAGGGGGTCACATCCAGTCTGGACAGCTGTATTATGTTCAGGGGGTCACGTCCAGTCTGGACAGGGGGTCACATCCAGTCTGGACAGCTGTATTATGTTCAGGGGGTCACATCCAGTCTGGACAGGGGGTCACATCCAGTCTGGACAGCTGTATTATGTTCAGGGGGTCACATCCAGTCTGGACAGTTGTATTATGTTCAGGGGGTCACATCCAGTCTGGACAGGGGGTCACATCCAGTCTGGACAGCTGTATTATGTTCAGGGGGTCACATCCAGTCTGGACAGCTGTATTATGTTCAGGGGGTCACGTCCAGTCTGGACAGCTGTATTATGTTCAGGGGGTCACATCCAGTCTGGACAGTTGTATTATGTTCAGGGGGGTCACATCCAGTCTGGACAGCTGTATTATGTTTAGGGGGTCACATCCAGTCTGGACAGCTGTATTATGTTCAGGGGGTCACGTCCAGTCTGGACAGCTGTATTATGTTTAGGGAGTCACGTCCAGTCTAGACAGCTGTATTATGTTCAGGGGGTCACATCCAGTCTGGACAGCTGTATTATGTTCAGGGGGTCACATCCAGTCTGGAAAGCTGTATTATGTTCAGGGGGTCACATCCAGTCTGGACAGCTGTATTATGTTTAGGGGGGTCACATCCAGTCTGGACAGCTGTATTATGTTCAGGGGGGTCACATCCAGTCTGGACAGCTGTATTATGTTCAGGGGGGTCACATCCAGTCTGGACAGCTGTATTATGTTCAGGGGGTCACATCCAGTCTGGACAGCTGTATTATGTTCAGGGGGTCACATCCAGTCTGGACAGCTGTATTATGTTCAGGGGGTCACATCCAGTCTGGACAGCTGTATTATGTTCAGGGGGTCACATCCAGTCTGGACAGGGGGTCACATCCAGTCTGGACAGCTGTATTATGTTCAGGGGGTCACGTCCAGTCTGGACAGCTGTATTATGTTCAGGGGGTCACGTCCAGTCTGGACAGCTGTATTATGTTCAGGGGGTCACATCCAGTCTGGACAGCTGTATTATGTTCAGGGGGTCACGTCCAGTCTGGACAGCTGTATTATGTTCAGGGGGTCACATCCAGTCTGGACAGTTGTATTATGTTCAGGGGGTCACATCCAGTCTGGACAGCTGTATTATGTTCAGGGGGTCACATCCAGTCTGGACAGCTGTATTATGTTCAGGGGGTCACATCCAGTCTGGACAGCTGTATTATGTTCAGGGGATCATATATTTGTTATAAACCTATATAAAATACTGTAAATTCAGAAATTATTGCGAGGTTTTTATTAATGTGAAAAATTGCGAGTAGGTGGGTATCGCAATAATAAGATCTCACATTCTGATACCTGATACATATCAATGTATTGGGATTTTTATGAATTCACAACAGTTGATCTCACATTTTTGTCCATCCTTCAAAAAATGCAATATAATAAATGCATGCAATTATTTGTGAATTTACAGTAGTATTAATATACTTGTCATCAAAACTAAAAAAAAATATCATGTAGACAAAGGAACTTTTTCACTTGGTGGTATCATTTTGAAAATTGCTGCAGTATATATGAAACAAGCTTTTAATTTTGATAGCTTACACAATATTTGGCTTTTGTTGTGAAAAGGATTATGAAAGTGCAAGTTAAAGCATTCCAGTAGATTCAAAATGTGTTTCATTTGCCTTGTGCCAAGATATCTGTGTTCATTCACATCTAGACTTATGACTGCAGAAACTATAGAACGATGTATTTATTTTTGTAAAATTTCTATATTTTCAGACCGTGTATAATGGTAATGGATTCATTAGCTGGTCAGTCAAGACAGAGAATTATAAATAGTTTAAAAGAGTAAGTTGTTTGTATATTTATATGTTACTTGTCTTCTGAACTGACCTTTGTTACAAATTTAGGGCCTATAAAATGACTGTCCATAGTTATGTACTGGTTGATAAAATGACATTTGCAAATCAATTATTTTAAGTTTGTCTTCTGTTCAGATTTAGAGCTAGAAAAGTGTGATAAAATATTTTCTACTTCTGCAATTAGGTACATACTAGAAAGTCATGTCAATATTGATGTAAATTTGCCATTAAATCATGTCTTACAAATATTGCTTCCAATATTTTTAAGACAAGTTGGATATGATTCCACACTTTTCAAATACTTTGCCATTATTTTCAATATTGAATTGACTGTTTAATTTTTATAAACTTTTATAAAGTGAACAGAACAAAGGATGTACACATGAATTTTATACTTTCCAACATTACAGTTATTTGCAAGTAGAATGGAACTGCAAGAAAAGTCAGACTGGAAGTATCAGGGAAAAATTTAAAGGAGCTTCCCCTAAAGTGCCTCAGCAAACAAATTACAGTGATTGTGGAGTGTATGTCTTACAATATGTTGATAGCTTCTTTGAGGTAATTATATAAGTAATAGAATATACTTTACCTGTACAGTATAACATAAAAAATATTAAAAGGAGTATTTTTTTGTGATTTCACTGGGATGGTGTGCTTGTGGCTGAGCCCTTAGTACAAACTTTAAAGATGAATTTAAAATTCTGACATACAATCTGTTGCAAAAATAAAGTAAGCATTCAGAAAAGAAAAATTTGTTAAAAGATATTTCTATGTCGACATGTGCATGTTGTTGTTATTAAATAATCCATCACATTTCCATGTATTAATGTATTAAGTAGACCAAAGTACATGATTTCTGCTCCAGGTAGAACACTTCCTGTTGCCTTTATCTTCTAATTATAGTAACAAAGTGATATTTTGTGCAATGTCAATTTCATGTTACGTCACTTAACTTCACAATTTGGGGTACGTTAAAGGATGGAATATGCATGTTATTTTTGTGTTAACATTTTCATAACTATAAATGTAGCCAATTTTTAGCAACAGCATAAAAACAATAGGTCAATGTTAGAAAAATATCAATTTTTTTGTATATATGGCATGAAAGGGCTTGGTAAACCTTGCCCTCCACAGTTTCTAAGCCTCATATAAACAAATTGATATTTTCTGACATTGACCTAATATTGTATATTTGTCATACAGAATCCGAAATAATAAGGCTACGTCATTTTACTTTTCAGGATCCAATATTTAATTTTTCATTCCCGATGAAAAGCTTAGCAAACTGGTTCACAGAGGAACGAGTGACAAGAAAACGAGAAGAAATCAAGGAACTGGTGATGACATTGAAAGAAAGATATGACAATGAAAAACAAAAATCATGACAAAGGGCAGATAACTCATTGTTATGTGACACTCACCAAAGACATTGAATTATGTATTCGTAAGAGTCATGAAATCGAAAGTTGTTGAAATCAGGAATATAGAATAGACAGTGAAAGAGGATGTAAAATGAAATAGACTATAGAATGTCAAGTCAGTAAAATTGAAATGCCCAACAGATCATGAGAACTAGAAATTGCCTTGTCAAAAGAATTTGAAGCAATGTATATTGAATTTTACTTTTTAAAAAGGAGATTTGAGTTTGAGAAAAAAAGTTTGAGGTGCAATGAATGAGTTTAGATATGTTATACATTATGAGAGAGATAGACATGGATCATAGAATTAATTGGGGGTTATTGTTAAACGATGAATGCCTTCCACATTCTGCTTAGAGGGACAAATTCAATGTGAAATTGTCAAGAGGCATACTAAACTTCTGTTTTGGAAAAAAAAAATGGAGATAACACATGATTGAGAAAGTTTGCCCCTGCATGTCAGGAAAGAAAATTTATATCACTTTTTCCATCTATCTGATATTATGCCATGACAAAGAAATTTTGGTTTAACAATTATGAATAGGAAATAATGAGCATCAAAGGAAAAGAGATTATGTTAGAAAATTTCATTAGGTCAGCTATTGGAGAAAATTATAGTTCAATGGGTTAAATTTTTGGAAATTTAAGTAATTATCTTTAATATCCTGTTATCTATTATTTTACTAACACTGAGAAGGGTCAATTTCAAACTGTAGGATAGATGGGTACAATGATAAAAAGTTATATCTACAATTTGACATAAAACATACCAGGAAATAATAAAAAAAAAAAAAAAAGAAATTAATTTACATCAAATTGGATAATTAAAAAAAATGTATTTTTAGTTTTTAGTTTTCACCTCCTTACCTTGATATGCTTGATATGACAAAATATAAATATACCAACCATGCTAACCATTCCAACAAAATGATCAGAAATTTAGATTGACATCAGAATGAATTATAAATCTCTAAAATATTGAAAAATTTAAGAAGTGTGGAAAGGAAATTCAGGTTTACTTATAAGGTAGAACAAGAACAAAAAAGTTACAAATGTTATTGTTCATCTCATGTGTTGAGTGCTATTCTATTTGTAAATCTCATATGTGATTGCTATTCCATGTGTACATGTTATTACATGTGTAAATGTAAATCATTTCATTGCCAGTCAAAAATAAGATACTTGGAAGTGATCAAATTTAGAAACTTACATCAAATTGCATAATTCAGAAAATGAATTTTTAGTTTTTTACCTTGATATGGTAACTGAAAAGCATGTAATAATAAAGGGAGATAACTCAGACAATATCAATATAAATTATAAAAAAAGTAAAAGGGAAAATGTCAGCAAGACAGCAACACAACAACACAAGTTAATCATGATAGACATCTAGAGGTCACAATATGGCCTTCAAAAAAAGATAAGTTCCCCCACCATAGATAATTTCTAAAATTTAAATCACCAAGAGTGGAGACAATTTGTGTACAATTCAACATTGCTGAATATATATATTTGAATTCTAAATAAACATGATAAGCATGCTGCATAGAAAATGTTTTAACAGCTAACACTGACAAGGGTCTTGACTTCAGGCAACCGCAAAAATCACATCAAGGTAAATGTTGTGTTTAATCGGAAACCTTGTTTAAAAGTGGTTGTTATAATGTACATGTATCTTAATGTTTAAGTCGTTTATGGAACATTTGATGTTAATGGTAAAGTTCATTTGGTCTCTGGTTGAGAGTTGTCTCATTGGCAATCATACCACATCTTCTTATTTTTATATTGAATAGTTTCTGTTGAGTTTATTCACAACCTTTAAAGACTGTCTATTCAAAGAAATATGTCTTTCTTCTGTTATAAGGTCACTTCTAAATGTCTTAGTTATTTGCATTGTTGGGTTGCTGTCAAATTGACATTTTTTTACCCTCTCTTTTTATTCATACTAACATGACTGAAGACCTAGGCATTTTAAAATTAGATAAGCATTTATAGTTTTACAGTTTTTTAAGACCATGTTTTTGTGACTTACTTTTGATTGCTTGTACACCCTTCTAAAGACTGGTACTTAAAATAATTGATTTTTTTTATTTCCATTTTATATAATTCAGGATGTTTTGTTATTTATATGATTTATAGACACAGTATAGTGCTATGTATGATATTAAATGTTATTAACTTTCCTCCACAACAAGGGATTTTTATACTAAAATAGGTTCTAAGTGTTTCAGTCAGTAAAAAAATTTGTTACATTGGTTTGCAAACAGGTTAATTATTTACACAGAAAAAGTTGCTCAGGTGTCCCAGATACCTCTATTTGTTACATGATTTAGATTTAGAGTCACCTTTCAGCCATTTCAGCATTTATTATTAAATACAATTAAGAATCATTTTTATCATTTTAGGAATAGACTGATCAGAACTTAGAAGACTGAACAGTATTGTATGTTTTAAGGTTGTAAGTTTAAAAATCAATCGTTTAATGAGATTATAACACACACAAAATGTTCTGAAGGGGCGGATTGACTTGGGAGCATTGCTGGCATGCACCCAATCAGTTAAAAAAAAAATTTCATCAAAAACTTCAAAAAAAAATTTCACCTTGCTCTGCTCTGCTCTGCAAACTTATTATGGTCACAACTACCTTAATTCAATTCCTGGATCTGCCCCTGTAGGCTGCTGTCTTTTATTTGTACTAGACTATCATTGAGTAATGTGTATTTCATTTCATTTCATTCACATTTTGTAAATAAAATTTTACTGAGAGTATGTTTCATTATACCACAGGACAGGACACGAATATTTATTGCATTGGCACTTCATATTTCTTACACAAGGAATTTTGTGGGAGTTTGATTGTATAATATGTTGTTAATATGTAATATAATTGTTATTAAAATATGATAATGTCACAAACAAATATTGTGCATTTGTCAAAATAAATTAAAAATGTTTTTGTCAGTTTAATCTGTGTTTGTTGTTTTACTTTGTGATGTTTTATCAGTATATTGATTGGAGAGGATTGTGGCACTTGGAGTTCTCTTCGGTTGATCAACGGTATATTGATTTGAGGTGTTGCGACACTTGGAGTTCTCTGTATTTGATCCACAGTATATTGATTTGAGGTGTTGCCACATTTGAAGTTCTCTGTAGTTGGTCAACATTTACTTGTATAAATTAATTCAAACTATTTCCACTTAAGGTGGATCATTGGCATATATATAACCTCAGATAGAATTTTCTTATACTTTGCCAGAATGTTTTTTTCATGCTTTTTATACGACCGCAAAAAAATTTTTGTGGTCGTATATTGGTATGACGTTGGCGTCGTCGTCGTCCGTCGTCGTCGTCCGGCGTCGTCCAGCGTCGTCCGAAGACACATTGGTTTTCGCACTCTAACTTTAGTTTAAGTGAATGGATCTTTATGAAATTTTACCACAAGGTTCAATACCACAAAAGGAAGGTTGGGATTAATTTTGGGGGTTATGGTAATAACAGTTAAGGAATTAGGGGCCAAAAAGGGGCCAAAAATAAGCATTTTTGTAACTTCCAGACATAACTTGTGTGTTAGTGTATGGATCTCTCTGACATTGTACCACAAGGTTCCATATCACTAAAGGAATGCTGGGATTGATTTTGGGGGTAATTGCCTCCAAATTTTAGGAATTAGGGGCCAAAAAAGGGGCAAAAAACAAGCATTTTTCTAGTTTCATGACAATAACTTGTGTGTAAGTGTATGGATCTTTCTGAAATTGTACTACAAGGTTCCATATCACAAAGGGAAAGCTGGGTTTGAGTTTGGGGGTAATTGCCCTAAACGTTTAGGAATTTGGGGCCAAAAAACACATTTTTTTCTAGTTTCCAGACAATAGCTTGTGTTCAAGTGTATGGATCTCTCTGAAATTGTACTGCAAGGTACCATACCACAAAGGGAAGGCTGGGATTGAGTTTGGGGGTGATGAATCATAATGGGGGTTCAAAAAATTTTTTGGGGGGATTTATTTTTTTTTCCTTTTTTTTCTTTTTTTCCTTTTTTGTTTCTTTTAAAATTTTCCATTTTAAGTTGGTTATTTCTGATTTATATTTAAAATCAAATAATAATGATATGGTAGGAGATACACACCAAACAGGATGTGTAAATTATTATATAATAAGTATTGTGCAATAGCAAGAAATTTTCAATTGCACAGTATTGCACAATAGCAAGAAATCTTCAATTGCACAGTATTGCGCAATAGCAAGAAATCTTCAATTGCACAGTATTGCGCAATAGCAAGAAATATCCAATAGCACAATATTGCGCAATAGCAAGAAATTGTCAATTGTACAGTATTGCGCAATAGCAAGAAATATTTAATAGCACAGGATTGTGCAAAAGAAGATACTTCCTATAAATTGCTTATTTCTTGACCAATTTCAATGGGGTTTTATTCTTGATTTCATGGGGTTCTTTAATATGCTGAATATAACCGTGTATTTAGTTTTTGGATTTTGGGCCCCGTTTTTAAATTGGTCCACATTGAGGTCCAAAGGGTCCAAAATTAAACTTTGTTTGATTTCATCAAAAATTGAATTATTGGGGTTCTTTGATATGCCGAATCTAACTGTGTATTTAGATTCTTAAATTTTGGTTCCGTTTTCAAATTGGTCTACATTAAGGTCCAAAGGGTCCAAAATTAAACTTAGTTTGATTTTAACAAAAATTGAATTCTTCGGGTTCTTTGATATGCTGAATCTAAACATGTATTTAGATTTTTGATTATGGGCCCAGTTTTCAAGTTGGTCCAAATCGGGGTCCAAAATTAAACTTTGTTTGATTTCAACAAAAATTGAATATATGGGGTTCTTTGATATGCTGAATCTAACCATGTATTTAGATTTTTGATTTTTGGGCCCCGTTATCAACTTTGTCCACATTGAGGTCAAAAGGGTCCAAAATTAAACTTTGTTTGATTTCATCAAAAATTGAATTATTGGGGTTCTTTGATATGCTGAATCTAACTGTGTATTTAGATTCTTAAATTTTGGTTCCGTTTTCAAATTGGTCTACATTAAGGTCGAAAGGGTCCAAAATTAAACTTAGTTTGATTTTAACAAAAATTGAATTCTTCGGGTTCTTTGATATGCTGAATCTAAACATGTATTTAGATTTTTGATTATGGGCCCAGTTTTCAAGTTGGTCCAAATCGGGGTCCAAAATTAAACTTTGTTTGATTTCAACAAAAATTGAATATATGGGGTTCTTTGATATGCTGAATCTAACCATGTATTTAGATTTTTGATTTTTGGGCCCCGTTATCAACTTTGTCCACATTGAGGTCAAAAGGGTCCGAAATTAAACTTTGTTTGATTTCATCAAAAATTGAATTCTTGGGGTTCTTTGATATGCTGAATCTAACCATGTATTTAGATTTTGGATATTGGACCATAATAGGTGAATGTCCAATTTAAAATTTTTAAGTTCTTAGACCACATTCAATCTGTGTTAGAAACCTATGCTGTGTCAAATATTTAATCACAATCCAAATCCAAAGCTGTATCAAGCTTGAATGTTGTGTCCATACTTCCCCCAACTGTTCAGGGTTCGACCTCTGCGGTCGTATCAAGCTGCGCCCTGCGGAGCATTTTATTTAAAAAATATAATAAAGAGTATGGGTCACCGTGCTATTTTTGTCCCCCGCGTTTCGGGGGACATGGAAACACCAGGCATACGTCCGTCCGGTCTTGTTAGCGCTCTCACATGTACAGTTCTTGCCAGATTTTTTTGAAACTTATATCATAGGTTTATATCAGCAATGTCTTGGACAAGTTAGAAAATCAGTGCTGATCAATTATTAAGCCCCACCTACGATAGTAGAGGGGCATTATGTTTTTCGGTGTGTGCGTCCGTTTGTTCGATCGTTCGTTCGTTCGTCCGTCCGTCTGTCCCGCTTCAGGTTAAAGTTTTTGGTCTAGGTAGTTTTTGATGAAGTTGAATTACAATCAACTTGAAACTTAGTACACATGTTCCCTATGATATGATCTTTCTAATTTTAATATCAAATTATAGAGTTTTGACCCCAATTTCCCGGTCCACTGAACATAGAAAATGATAGTGCGAGTGGGGCATCTGTGTACTATGGACACATTCTTGTTTTTAAAAGAGTTATGCCCCTTAGAAACATTAATTATATAGAAAATTGCATTGTTAGCGCTCTCATGTGTACAATTCTATCCAGATTTTTATGAAACTTATATCATAGGTTTATATTAGCAATGTCTTGGACGAGTTCGAAAATCAGTGACGATCAATTATTTTTAAAAGAGTTATGTCCCTAGAAAATATTGATTATATGGAAAATTGCATTGTTAGCGCTCTCATGCGTACAATTCTTTCCAGAATTTTATGAAATTTATATCATAGGTTTATATCAGAATGTCTTTGACACTTTCGAAAATAAGTGCTGATCAAGTATTTTTAACGAGTTATGCCCCTTGGAAAAATAAATTATAACAGAAATCGCATTGCATTTACTCTGAATCCTTTATTTCTCTAAGATACATTTGTATTTATAAATTGTTTTAAAGAACAAAAAAAAAAGTGTTTTTTTTTAGTTATTGCCCCTGTACCTAGGAAAGATAGTAGTTAATAAATCAGTCTGAATAATGCAATAAATCACATATTTATCTTTATTCAAATAAACAGTCTAACCCATTATTTGCCACTCTGTCTCAAAATTTGCAGATTTAAGAAAAGAACTAGACCTATTGTGAACTGCTATTTTACAATCCAAGATGGCGGTATACCATTGATCTACCTTAGGTAAGGGCTCCAGTACTTCATCAATACCAAATGTCTATTCTTCGTCATATAAGGTTAAGATGATAGTTATGCCCACGCAGTAGCGGAGGGGGCATTAAGTTTTACCCTTGTCCGTCTGTACGTACGTCCGTCCATACGTCCGTCCGTACGTCCCAAAATTGGTTTCCGAGTTTGCCTCAACCAAATGTTATGAAACTTATACACAATGCTTATTACCACAAAACACAGATCAAGTTTGAATTTTGGTGGCGTCACTTTAACTGTTCTAGAGTTATGCCCCTTTATAAATGGAAAAATTGCAAAATTTTTAGTTTCCGTTCTCTAACTTAAGTTTTGCCTCAACCAAATGTTATGAAACTTATACACAATGCTTATTATCACAAACATAGATCAAATTTGAATTTTGGTGGCGTCACTTTAACCGTTCTAGAGTTATGCCCCTTTATAAATGGAAAAATTGCAAAATTTTTATTTTCTTCTAAATATCAAGTAATTTTTATTAAAATTGGAGTTATCTTCCTTTGTCCATGATTTTAGTTGAATCAACTACAATCAATGCTTTATACAATGCAATGTTTAATTTTGACTTCCACTGATAAAACACAGATCAAGTTGAATTTGGGTAGTGTCACTTTAACCATTATTGAGTTATGCCCCTTTATAAATCGAAAGATTGCAAAATTTTTAGTTTCCATTCTGTAACTTAAGTTTGCCCCAACCAAACATTATGAAACCTATACACAATATTCATTACCACAAAACTCAGATCAAGTTCAAATTTGGGTAGCGTCACTTTTACCGTTCTTCAGTTATGTCCCTTTATAAGTATATGATATGCAAGCAGGGGCATCATCTGTGGACACATGTGGACACTATCCACATTTTTATACGACCACAAAAAAAATTTTGGGATCGTATAATGGTATGATGTCGTCGTCGTCCGAAGACACATTGGTTTCCAGACAATAACTTTAGTTTAAGTGAATGGATCTCTATGGTCCCAACCGTTTAGGAATTCGGGGTCCAAAAGGGGCCAAAACAAGCATTTTTCTAGTTTCAGGATAATAACTTGTGTATAAGTATTTCAATTTCTCCGAAATTGTACCACAATGTTTAATACCACAAGTAAAAGGTTGGGATTCATTTTAGGGGTTATGGGGCCAAC